GCGGACAACACGATGAACGAGCACGACCGGTCTGATCAGTGGATTCAGAGCCTTCTTTTTAGGGTCACTCTGTGGGGGTGGCACTTGGCAGGAGATGATGGGGGTGGGTGGAGGGGGCACCTCGGGACAGCTGTGCCCTCCTCACCCCACCCCCTTGAGAACCTGGCTGAGGGCTTTCTCTGCCCCTCGCCTTCAGGACTGGTCCAGGCTGGCTCTCTTGAACAGCCTGAGCTGTTTTTTGCAGGGCTTCTCCCTGGTGAAGGGGAAGTGGCCTCAGGCGTCTTCCCGGGCCTCTGTGAAGAGCAGATGACAGGGCTTGAAGCTTCTGGAAAAGTACTGCGGACCACCAGGAGTTAAACCGGCAGTGACCCTGCCCTTGGGTGAGGGGAGACGAGAGTCGGGGTGGGGGGGAACACAAGAGAGGAACTCGGCGGGCCAGCTGTGTTCCGCCTTTCCTCCACAGCCCCGGTCGCGGTCACCGCGTCACTGCGAGAGGAAATGAGGAGGAGAGGGGGCCGGGGACGGATGGACGCCATCCACAAAGCAGGCATAACGGGTGTGCCAGGGATGGGAGATGCAAGCCGACTAATTAAGGCCTCCAGACACCTGTTGTGAGCTCACCCATTCTCACCCCTGGCAGGAGGTTCGCACCTCTAAGGAAGGGGGAAAAAACATTCAGATGAAAAAGCGTCCATCTGCAGCCCGGTGCCGAAGGCCCAGCCTGCCTGCAGCGGCTGCGTTTCTGCCACCTGGCATCCTGACCTCAGGGGAGGTGAGGGAGGGGCGTCCAGAGCGAGAGCCACCGGCTGCGCTGCTGCAGAGCTGTGTGACCCTGGGCCAACTCCTTAGCCTCTCTGTGTCTCCTGCCCACCTCTGTCAGACCCCAGAGAGGAAGGCTTTGCGGTTAAACCCAGGTGCTCAGCACACATTTACTGGGAACTATCTATGCACCAGGGGCCTGTGGCTTCCACAGTGAACGACAGACCAACCCCAGAGCCAGCCCAGAGAGCAGCGGGGACACCCACTTGACAGGAGACAAGGGTTCGATCCCTGGTCCAGGAGCGACTCGCATGCCACAGAGCAACAAAGCCCACGGGCCCCAACTAGCGCCCCGGTGTGCTGGGGCCCAGAAGTAGCAACCACTGAGGCCACGCGGCCTGGAGCTCATGCTCCACAACGAGAGAAGTCACCACAGTGAGAAGCCTGCAGCCCGCAACTCAAGAAGGGCCCCCGGCTCTCCACAGTCAGAGAAAAGCCTGTGTGGCAGTGAAGACCCAGCACAGTCAAAAATAAAATAAATGAAAATTTTTAAAATGGACATACTGCAGAAAACTTCTAAGGATCCGGAACTGCTGTCAAAGATACAGGCTCTGTCTTGAGTCAGCCCTGCCCTGGGTTCCCAGCCTGAAGCCACCGGCTTTGTGCTGTTTAATAACCACAGTGAACACTGATTAACTACCCGCTTCGTACCCGGCGCTGTATTAAGTGCCCCACATGCATAATCTCACTTAATCCTTTTAACAGCCCTTGAGGCAGCCACGTGGTAAGGGAGCCGGGTGCCAGCCCGAGCCGCCTTGACGACCCGGTGGTAGGACTCTGGGCTCCGGAGCTGGTTTCGTCACTGGAGATGACAAGCACTCTGCAGGGCTGTAAAGAGCCAAAGCACTTCAGCCCACGGTGCTTGGCGCAGAGGTCGGGCTACGAAAGTCTGCTTTGTGATAGGGATAAACACTAGTGATTATTACTGTGGCATAGTTATCAAAATTTGCAGCACATGTTCCAGCAGTATGAGGACTATTGTTTTATGCTGGGGAAGCAGGTACAGAAGGGGCAGCAGAGAGGGGACTGCTGTCTTCCTCCACTGCGACTCCATTCACTCTTTAAAAAAATTCCTTGTTTTGATGTGAACCATTTTCAAAATCTCTATTGAACTTGTTACAATATTGCTTCTGTTGTTTATGTTCTGGTTTTTAGGCCTTGAGGCGAGTGGGATCTCAGCTCCCAGATTGAACCATAGCCCCCTGCACTGGAAGGCAAAGTCTTAACCACTAGACCACCAGGGAGGTCCCACCTCCCTGACTTTTCTAAAGGGCGAGTCTTGAATTGGCCCAGATGACAACCCTGCAGAGGCGTGGATCTGCAGGGTCTTTGGGCACCCGTCAGGCTGGGTTTTAGAGGCTGGGGTCTGGGGCAGTGAAGCCCAGATGGAAGGCTGGTGGCCTCCAGGAAAGGCTCAGGCCAACACTGCCTCAGCCGAGAAGCTGCTGCCCCCAGCTCAGGGGCAGGGGCCTGGGGAGGCCAGGGGAGCTGCAGCTTCTCAACAGGTGGTCTCCAGAAGCAGACACACTCTCCCACGGCCCTGCACTCCAGCTTGCACCCCCTGAGTGCGTCACTGTCTGTCACTGTCACTTTCCTCCCTGGCCCTTCATGAACAGGAGCCCGTCTCTCCTGACACGGCTCTGCGCCCAGCACCTAGAGCAGTGCCTGGTACAAACGGCACACCCTCGTGGGTGGCAGCTCTACTAAACGATCTGGGAGACGGTAACTTCTTCCAGACGCAACAGAAGCATTAACAGGCCAGGCCCAGAGAGGTGCGGTTCCAAACCAGGGCTCTGGGTCAGACCAAGGACACCCCACTTCCAGCTCAGTTGTGTGGCCCTGGGCTGGAAACCTCGTCTCTCCAGGTCTCCAGGGTCCCTCTGGGTACAGAAGGGATAACAGCATCCCTCCTTTGCAGTGCTGCTCTGCTGCTTAAAAAAAAGATAGAGCACAGGAAAGCATGGTGCGGAGCCCAACACGCAGTGAGTTGTGATCATGCCTGGTAGGATAAGCCCATGACGCTTAACCAGCAAAATGAACTGGACTGGTTCCCCTGAACCTTGACATCTTCCCCTGCCTCTGACCCTTGCGGGCTGCTGGCTTTGTTTGAAACTGGGTCTGGTTTCCTGGCTCAACATGTCTCTCTGAGAAGACTCACAGCGACCCCTGCTGCCTCCACTCAGAATGGTGTCAAAACTCCTGGGCAGGACACACAACAAAGCCAGGCTCCAAGAAGGCTCTGGGTTATCAGGGACCAGTGAAAACTACCGCTGGGGATGGCAGAAAGAAGAGACGCCACGCGTAACAATGTTCAGGCAGGGACACTAATTCCCTGTCTTCTCAAAACAAACGTAAAACGCGAGACCAGACAGCGCTTTTCCTTCTCCATCTTGGGTCTTTTGTTTCCCTGGATCAGTGTCATTCTCAGACTGCAGAACCAAGCGAAGCTGTCATTTCGGCGAGATGTGATTCTAGATCCACACGTGCAATCCTGGTTTGATCTGGCAGTTCTTAAACTGGACTCCTCAAAAATCCGGAGTTTGTTGAAACCAGCAGCCGCGAGAGGCTCAGGGTACATACCTTCTTGGGATGGCAAGCTCACTCCTCTTGACTCGCCTCCCCAGCTATCGGGAGATGGAAAACAGCACCCCTACTGTGACTCCACCTTACCAGGTTTTAACACCACACGGGGGGATCCTGGAATTATAGCCAAGACCCTACCACTCAGAAACCAACAGGTTTCTTCACATCTTCACATCGGCACCGTGCTGACCACATCTGTTAACGAACGGCACGCCAGTGTGTGATTTAGATCGTGGGAAGGAGGACAGAAGTTCTTAAAGGAAATCCCTCAAGTGGCTTCCCATTCTTTAAACCACTGAGTAAGAGCAAAGAGGGTAGATTTCACACAATGATGATACATCCTTTCTAGTCTCCAAAATCTAGGACTTCTACCTTCCATCCACAGCTTACCTAGCAAGAAGCTAACAGGTAGCCTTAATGGGGACTGAGCTCTCCCGATCCTTGTGCCAGAACTGGACAAATGCTGGGATCGACAAACAAGGTCTAATACACAGAATCCTAAATGCCCCACCCTCACCCCCCATGTGCAGGCCAAGGAGCTACAGGTTCCCAGAACACTCAAAGTTTGCAGCCAGGCTTCCACAGTCTGCTAGGCTGGCGCCAAAGTCATCTGCCCTTAGGTTTTGAGAGCTTGGCGGCTGCTTCTTTGTGCTACATGGCACACACCTGGAGAGCATGCTTGCTTTAAACGTTTCCCCCTTAGGCCCTCTCCCTAAAGACACTTCATCCAGGGCTTGGTACTGGGTGATAGCTAACTTACCCGAACCAGCTGGTGCAATGTACCAGCACAGGGTTGCAAACCCTGGCCCCGGGCTCTATCTGGCCCACGCACAGACTCTGTCCCACATGAACTGCTTTTAGAAAGTGAATTAGTTGCCAACTTATTCCCTCTTAAGAATCCAGATTGCCAGTTTCTCTTTAAGAACCTAAGAGAAGAACCTAAGACACCTAGATTTCCGCTGGCCCTCCAGCCCGTCAGTCCCCACCTGGCCAGCTCTCCCAGGCTGTTTCCTGCCCGCCCTCTGAGAGACCTCTGAGTTTCGATTCCTGTGTTAGCAGCTGCCGATGGACTACATAATGTAGGTATGCGATCTCCCCTCATTTCAAAAGGGGATTTACACAGACAGCAATGTAGACCAGGGGTCCCCAACCCCGGCAGGATATCGGAATCTCCTGGGGCATTCTGAAACCAAGACCAATGTCTGTGCTCCACCCCCAGTGAAAGGAATGTAACTTTCTGGGGGTGGAGTCTGAGCAAAGGTGCATTTATCAAAGTCACCAGGTGATTCGCATGTGCAGAGACGGCAGTGGATTGCTGGCTTAAACCAAAGGGTAACTTGGGTGGCAGGACTTCAGGCCCATCAAGGGAGGACCTGGGCTTCAGGCCGCCTGGTTCCTGCCCCTCCTGTAGGTCACCAGTGGGAATAGAGAAAAACTGATCATCCCATTTGCACACCTTTCTGCCCAGTGCTCTGAGACAGCAGTGTCTGAGATTAAGGGAGACACATCATTGGCGGCGAGAACATGACTTTTGAGAGGCCACTGTGATGGCCTTTGGTGTACCATTGGCTCCCACCCAGCACAGCCTCGCCTCCTACCTGAAGAGTTCTCGGATCTCACGGCTGTCAGCCTGGAAGGGGATGTTCCGCACCAGGATCTTGGAGGTTGTCTGCTTTCTGGGCACTTGTTTCTTCCGGGTCGATGTCAGGGCCGGCCTGGAGAGTCAGGGGAAGGTTTTGGGTTATTTGGGACCTCGGCATAGCTGCTGCCCTCCGCTGACTCCACCACCAAGCCCCGCCACCAGCACTGATGCTTTTGTTTCCTGCTCAGGTGAGGGACTGAGAGAGTCAGTGTGGATGCGACTGAGAGGAAAGGGAAGGGAAGGAGGGCTCCCCCGGGTGGCACGCAGCCTAATTCTTGTCTCCTCGCTGCAGCTGTGGATGTCCAGGTGACACATCCTACCCAGGGGGTGTCTGCTGCCCTTCATCTGAGACTAGTAGACACTTGAGAAAAGAACACCAATGGGGGCAGCAGGGGGCAATTTCTCCCCAAACCCAGTCTCCTCTGTATCTTTCCAGGTGTCCCGAGAGACTCTGGCTGCTCTTCAGGTCTTGCTGGAAACGTTTCATCACTGACCGGAAGCACAGCATACAAGGGCCTGGTGGTGGTGGTAGTGTAGTTGTTAAGTCATGTCTGACTCTTGCAACCCCATGGACTGTAGCCCGCCAGGCTCCTCTGTCTATAGGATTTTCCAGGCAAGAATACTGGAGTGGGTTGCCATTTCCTTCTCCGGGGAATCTTCTAAACTCAGGAATCAAACCTGGGTCTCCTGCAGTGCAGGCGGACTCCTGCATTGCAGGCGGATTCTTTACCAACTGAACTACAAGGGGCCTAAAGCACCTTCTAACCACCGAGCCCGGCCAGGGCTGCGAGAGGAAACTCTCCACTGAGGTTCAAGGCCACCTGGAACCTGTCCCCCTGCTCTTCCAGGGAGACCTTCCGCTCCGTGGCAGCAGCGGACAGTCTCGAACAGGGGCCTGAGTCGATGATCTGAGTATGAGACTCTTGTGGCCACTTAGAATCTGTGTGATCCTGAGCAAGTTATTACTTGGCCTCTCTGGGTCTCAGTTTTTTTAGATGTATCATCACAGGCCTAATAACAGTGCCAACCTTCTCAGACTGTTTGAGGTTTTAATGAGAGAAAGATGTGTTGAAACACTCTGCACTGTGCCTAGCTCAGGACAAGCCCTCCATAAACAGCAGCTGGTATTAAAATGACTTGTTCTGACTCATCTGAAGTCCGATCCACATCACCTCTTCCCCATCACCACTAAAAGAGCAACCAACTCCCATCCCCCCGACTCTGTTCTTCTTCCTGGCATTCGTTACTGTCAAAAAAAAATCCATTTGGGGTTTTTTTTGTTTTTAAACTTCATTTATTTTTATTTACTTGCCTGAGCCAGGTCTTAGCCACAGCACACGGGATTTTCTATCTTCCTCGTGGCATGCAGGGCTTTCAGCTGCAGCATATGGGATCTTTAGCTGCAGCATGTGGAATCTAGTTCCCTGACTGGGGATTGAACCCTGGGCCCCCTGTGTTGGGAGCGTGGAGTCTTAAGTCCCTTTACACATTTAGTCATGTGTCTCTTTGCTGTCTGTCCTCTGGGGCTGTGCTGTCCAATACAGGAGCCACCAGCCACACGTGGTGAACAATTAAATCGCAATTAACATGACACAAAATTAAAAAATTCAACTCCTCAGCTACCGGGTCATCCAACCTCCAAGGTGGTCCCCAACAGCCCCTGCCTCTTGGTATTTATGCCCCTCATGTGTACTCCCCTCCTGCTCTCCTGTGAAACCATGTCAGAACAGACACTGCCAAGACACTGCCACTTCCTCCCTGTTCTCTCTTGGATCACTCGCTCTGGAGGTAAACCAGCTGCTGTGCCGTGAGGACACTCGTGCAGGCCTAGGGAAGAGGCCAATGTGGTGGGGAACTGAGGCCTCCTGGCAACAGCCATATGAGGCCACAATTTTGGAAGTGAAACCATCAACCTCAGTTGAGCCCTCGGATGAGACTGCAGCCCTGCCCAGCATCTTAACTGTGACCTCCTAAGAGATTCCAAGGCAGAACTTCCCAGCTGAGCTGTTCCTGAATTCCTGACCTTCAGAAACTGTGAGATAATACCAAACATTTATTGTTTTAATCTGTCAAGATACTCAGTTATAGTGTGATAGGTAACTAACACAGTGGTACCTGTCATGTCTCAAGTGCTCAAACACCATGCGTGCAACAGTGCAGAGAACATCATAGGATGTTTTCATCCTTACAGAAGGTTCTATCAAATAGCATGACCTCAGAATGAACACCCCACAAAGCTTCTCCCTCCCCAGCTCCTGGGAAGACTGTCTGGTGCCCAGCAGACTTTCAGTAATTTTTGGTTGAATGAAAGACTAAATAAACACGGCCTAGGAGTTGAGAGCCTGCAAGGTGACTTCAGCCTGACTCCCTGGAGTCAAGGCACTGAGAAGCAAAGACCAGCACCAGCTAAGTGATCATGTGCAGGGCATGTGCTAAATGCTTTGTGCACAATCTCCAGTTTTCACATTTTACATGATGGGCAAAGTCACCCATCTAAGGTCATGGAGCCCTCTGGATTAGAACCCAAAGCTGCGGGGCTCGAAGCTTGGACTCTCACTCTTAAGTCCTGGCTCAGGAGCCTCCATTAGCTTCTGGGGGCTCCTGCACCAAGCCTGCTTCTGGCTAAAGATGTTCAGCATGGCATGGACCAGAATGGGCGGAGACCACCAGATGATGCCTAGGCAGGCTTCACAGGTAACATTAAAAAAACAGACAGAGAAAGAAGAAACAGCAGCAGCTTCAGGGGAGCTCAGCAGCAACCAATCTGCTCAACAACCAGTGAGGTGGGGCGGGTGGCTCTGACGATGACAACAATGATAACGTCTGATCCCTTACGTGCCGGCTACTGTTCAAAGCACTCCTGGTGTATGAGTTCAGTGAGGATGTGCAAGCAGGTGAAGACGCAGGACAACACTAAACCCACCAGAAGACCTCTACTATTTCACGAAACTGGTCTTTGGGTGCAGTGGTCTGCTTCCATCTCTAACACCTACTGAACCTCTTTTCAAATTAAGCAGAGGCTGTCTCTGGGCACTGTTGTCTGGCTCCAATAAGGAAAGCCCGGTAAAGATGTAAAGAATAAGAAGTCTAGGTCTTACTGCTGCTTTTGGTTCATCAAAGCACCAACAGCTCTAGACTGACTCTGCCTTGGCTCACTGATACCAGCAAGAACAAGCAGGCTCTGCTTGCTTCTCTGGCCTGTGTTCCTTTTGTTGTAATGAGTGTGCATTACACGTTTACTCCGGGGACTGGTGCAGTCCCAGTTCACCAGGGGAAAGGGCATCGAAGCTGGCATGTGGGGCACCTCCTTGATCAGGACAGGGCCCCAGGGGTGAGAGGGGTCGGGTCAGTGAGGATGTTAAAGGGCCGTGAGACGCCCTCTGCGGCACCAGCATCGGGGCTAAAGGGAAGGATTCAGATTCACAAGGGAAGGGGCAGGGGGTGGGGAGTGGAGACTCACTTGGTGGCTCGTTCCGAGATCCTCACTTCCAGCTTGTGGCCGTCCACGACGTGACCCTGCGAGGGGAGACAACACATTCTGTCCTTCTGTCTTAAGAAACACGCGCCCGTAGCCCCGTCCTTTGCTGGAGCGGGCTTCGGCAGAGCGAGGGGAACAGCAACGCCAGGGGGGGCTGACTGTTTCAGGGCAGAGAAGCCCGCTGGGGTCAAGGACCGAGAAGGGTTTCTCCTCAAAGTGGCTCCTGCCAAGCGTGGGCAGCAGCTGCTGGTGATGGAGCCCCAGCCCTCCGAGTCCTCTCACGCCAAGAACAGCCTTGACCTTTAAGCCATTCGACGGGCACAGAATTTTCCACTGTTTATAAGCATTTTCAGGCCAAGTAAGCCCCTTCGGTCTGGCTTCCAGAGAGAGACTTCGGTTTGAATTGTAGGCTCTTGGGGAAAAAAAAATCTAAATCACAGCGGAGATGCCTCTAAAGTGAGGCTCTAACATGGGTCCCTTAGGCAAAACTGGTGTATTAGCAAAATTACCCTTGAAAATCCTTTAAATCTCCCATAAAATACAGCACACATAGCCTTGTAGAAACGGTTCTGGGTGGCAACATGCCCATATGTAGCACACAGCAAGGCACAGAACGTAACTCTCCCGTGTGCAGGGGGAAATCTGAGACTCCTGGATGACGTGGATGAGAAAAGACAGACCACTGGGCCTGCACAGCTGAAATCCACTTAGAGGAGCACATGGCATCTAAAGACACAGTTGGATTTCCAGTGTCTCTTGAAAAAAACCACAAACAAAACAAAAAGCCAGAGACGATGTGGTATGGCTGGGGCCCACCTGCCTGTGAGGCGGTAACTGGCTGAGGCCAAGACGTGGCCTCTTTAGATGGGGGAGGCACCCCAATTCTACTCTGGGTGATGCCAGCCCCTGGGCTAGTTTACAGGGCCAGCCTGGCCCTGTGGGCACCTGAAAAGCAGAGAACCTTTCCTGGTGGAAGAAGAGGCCACCCCTGCCCCAACTCCCACCGAAACCTAATTCAGCTCTTTTGGGAGTCACCTTGGGCCAAGGGGCGAGTCATCAAAATTCTACAAAAATGTCTACAAAAACAATCAAACGGGCTAAGCGCCCAGTTACATTTCCTTTAACCCCTAAGGCCTTTCTCTTGACCAGCAAGCTCTACTGGGACAGACTGAGTTGCCTGGAGGGTCCCTACGATGAAGCCTGGCTCCCCAGAGAGGTGGCCCTGTATGGGTGCCCTTACCACCCAGAGTCCAGCCAGCACACGTCTCAAACAAGGAGCCGGGAGGGCGCGGCCCTGGCTTGTACACTCCGCCCTGGTCAGCTCCATCTCACACTGCCTGCCTGGCCTAGACAGACACGGGCCGTTCCAAATACTGGTTTAAAAGGGATCCTGGACCCCTGTGAGCCCCTTCCCTGGTCCCTGCATTTAGGAGCTTATTCAAGAGGCACAAGCATGAGTGCCCAGCTTGCCCACAGTGCCCGCCCCCCCAACCCTGGCCGCCACCCCGCGTGGCAGCAGGAATGGCAGGTGATAGCAGGGAGCCAGGGGGTCTCCAGAAAGGAGGAGGTGCACAAGAAAGCACTGCTCCTGCCCCTTCCTGCCAGCGAACCTGAGCCCTTCTCATGACCTGGTCTTGGCGTTACTCCTTCAGAGGTCTGCTTCACCGGTCTCCCTGAGGCCTGGCACAAACCAGGCTCTTGATCAAGAGACTGAATGAGTGCACCGCAGAGACTTGGGGGTGCCGAGGAAGCCACAGAGCCTCGGGCCGCTGTCCCCTAGGGCCTCAGAAGATGTGGACCTGCCTGCACTCCTGCTTCATCTCAGAAGCTGGACAGGACACCCGCCCCACTACCTGCCTAGCGCCGCCCCTGGGGGACCTCAGCCAAGACCCCCCACTTACCTGGAGCTGCTTGAGAGCTTTCTGGGCCTGCTCTGGCTTCCTATATTCCACGAACCCAAACCCCATGGACAACAGCGCTCCTGAAACAGACAGAGCCGGGAGTCGCACCAGGGCGCCGGGTGGGGAGGAAAATGAAGAAGCTGGGACGGACCAAGTTCAAAGGCTTCTGGGGCCCCCTGGGCGTCCCCTCAACCCTCTCATTTCTTCCTGCCCCTCTTGGTTCCCAGAAAGACCCCAGCCCCCGGCCTGCCATTTATTACTGGTCGTCTTGAAGAATCAGCCAACGTGGTTACAGAGCCGCCACCTGAGGCCTGGCAGACTATTAATTAACAGATGATAAGACACAATAATTAACTTCGTGATAGAATCCCGTCTTCCACAGGGAGGGATGACCGCCTTTGGGCCAAACAGCAAAAAACTCAACCCGGGCAGTCCCCTGCTTCCATACGTAACGCACAGAATGGACACATGCAACAGAGTCAAGGGCGCCAGGGGCTTACTCTGCAAAGTGTTCCTGACCATCCAGTGAACTCCGGTTCCCAGGTTTCAGATATCAGCTTGGGACAGGGAGAGTGACTATGTTATGAGAAGCCCTCTGGCTCCATACTGCTGGGGCATGAGTAGCAAGGGTTCAGACAGCCAGGGGCAGTGCAACCATTTATAGGGAACTTGGCTTCCTGTATGTAAACATGTGTAACTGCAGGTACGTACGAATTAAGCTCTCTTGACATCTCGCCCTTTTGACACAAAATGGGATGCCGATTACTGACTTCATTCTGTAACTCTCTTTCACAGCTGCACTCAAAGAGGGCTAGCTCAAGGCTGACGGGCTCAAAGGAGGTTCAAAGGTGTATCATTACCGCCTCAGTGGTCCGCATCTCTGCATCTCTCCTTTGAGAGACTGCGCCTCTGCCACGTGCTCCTGCCTGTTTGCATTTCCGCTCACAACCACGTGTTGTCACAATGGGGGGGCCCAAGGCAGGAAGACATTCCACAAACAGCCCAGATGTGCGTGGCTCTCTGGGCAACGCCGGGGAGGCTCAGACGGATCTGCTGGTTGACAGGCCGCACCACCCTGCGGGGACCTCCAGTATTTGCGTCTCAGAGGATCTGCGCAAGCTTCGTTCTCAGGGTCAAAGGTGTGGGTGGTGGGTGAGGGGTGTCTGTGCCTGCAGGCTATTTAAAAAGTGCATTGAGATGGTGCAGACAGCAAGTAGTCACAAGGTCAAGTTCGTCACCGAGTCACTGGTGCTGTGCAGATCCATTCTGCCCTTCTCCTGCCCTGGGAGGCTGACGGCCATAGACAGCACAACCTGGGCTGCCTGGCCACATGGCTTCCTGCTGGGGTTCAGCCAGTGGGAAGCCCTGACTTGAGATAGTGGGCGGAGGAGAGGGCTGAGGGTCTTGGTTCCTTCCATGCACACCATCGTCTCCCTGCTCTGGCGTGTCCTGGCAGCACCAGTGTCCAGTCCACACCCTTGGCTCTGCTGGTGGCTCTTCTTCTTTGAGTATTTCTTTATTTGGCTGCATCCAGTCTTAGTTGCGGCATGTACGATCTTTAGTTGCGGCATGTAAGATCTTCAGTTGCGGCATGTGGGATCTAGTTCCCCGACCATGGATTGAGCCCTGGCCCCCTGCATTGAAAGCATGGAGTCTCAGCCTCCTGCCCACCCCCCACCCCCAGGGAAGTCCCTGGGGGCCCCTCTTCTACGGCTCTGGTCACAGGACTCCCTCCCCCACAGCCTCTGGGCTCAGCAGGGAAGGGGTGCTCTCCCACAGGACCCACTGCCTCAACACCCCCTGCGGGTCCCCTCAGCCCAGCCCACGCCCAGGGGCTCTTTCATTACAACTGTCCCCTTGATGATCCCAGCTGAGCCAGCTTTCTGGTTCCTCTGGAGCCCCTCGCTGATAACAGACACTGATGGATGAGCCCCAGAGAGCAGGGCTCCCAAACAGAGGCTCTTGAAAGACTGTAGATCTTGAGAACTGCTCATGACACCAGAAGACCAAGTAACTGCTCTAAAGCTGGAGAGTGTTCTGGGGGGCCGGGGGGCAGGCTCCAGAGGGGCAAAGTGACACCAAAACCCGCAGGAACAGCCTCAGCTGGAGCGGGCGACCCCTCTGCCAGCATGACTCACGCCCCAGACTTCAGGGATCACCTCTTTTCCTGAACCCCGCACAACAGAGCCTTCATGTTGTTCACCTGGTACTTTACATTGTAGCCTTTCCTCGTAGCCTAAACTATGTATGTAGTTCTTGGGGGAACAGGGATGTTATGGTTTGAACTGTGCCCCACCCCCACCCCCCAATGTGTATGCTGAAGTCCTAATCCCTGCCTCTCCGAATGCGACCTTATTTGGAGACAGGTTCCTTACACAGATAGTCAAGTTAAAGATGAGGTCATTAGACTTCCCAAGTGGTGCTAGGGGTAAAGAACTCTCCTGTGCAAGAGACGTAAGAGATGGGGATTCAATCCCTGGGTCGGGAAGATCCCCTAGAGGAGGGCATGGCAATGTACTCCAGTATTTTTCCCTGGAGGATACCATGGACAGAGGAGCCTGGTGGGCTACAGTCAATGGGGTCTCAAAGAGTCAGACACGACTGAAGTGACTTAGCAGCATCAGGCTAAGCCCTAATCCAATTAAGACTGTTGTCCTTATGAGAAAGAAAAGGGGTGGTGGGAGCGGGTGGGATTTGAGCACAGGGCAGGTGTACATGGGGAGAAGGCCATGTGAACATGAAGACCTTCACCTGCAAGCCGAGCAGGGAGGGAACAGCCCTCAGAACAGCCCTCCCTGACAGCCCTCAGAATGAAGCAATCCTGCCTGCACCTTTATCCTGGACTTCAGGCTCCCAGAACTGTGGGAGGGTGAACTTCTGCGGTGGAATCCACCTGGTTCCTGGTGCTTTGTGACGGCAGCCCAAACCGATACGGGGGAATGCCCCAAATCCTATGCCATGTGTCTGCTTCAAACCCTCCAAGGCGCCTCTGGGAAAAAGCCCAGACTCCTCTCTCCAGCAGAAAGCCCTTCTGTGATGTGGAATCCGCCTGCCTCTCCAGGATCATCTTCTGCCCCTTCAGTACATTCCAGACCTGCTAACACAGCCGTCTGCCGCCTCCTTCAGCCACACACCCCGCTAACTGCTCAGCCTCCCTCCTCTCTGAGTCTCAATCTGACGTGGAGAACCCCAGGCTGGGCTCCTGTCCAGCCGGGCCCCCTGGGCTCTCACCACTGGCTCATTTATCTTTCAGGACACAGTCATGGGCTGACCCACATGGTATCCCTACAAATACCCCAAATTGAAGGGTCAGGGACTCTGTGGCTACAAAAAAAAAAAAAAAAAGCAAGGGCCGAGGGCCTGTCCATCATCTGTAGGAAGCCAGGGCTGGAAAAGAAAAACATACCAGAGGCCAAGGGACTCGTGAGAATGCCCAAGGTGGACTGGAGGGATGAGGGTGGTATCTGCCTGGCCCAGGCACCCCAAGGCCAGTGAGGGGCATGGCTGATGACTCGGTGGAGTGTTTCAGGTGCCCCATATCTGGGTGGTTGGTCTTGGGAGGGAAGTGGGAAAGCCCGAAAAGGGTTGGTTCCTGCTCCTCCCTGGAGGGAAGATCCTCCAGGAGCACAGAGATGCTGGGAGGATGGAGAAGTGTCTGCCGCTGAACAGGGTCAACCCTGCCAGCCCCCTAACAGCCCTGCTCCAAAACCACCCCTGACAATCCAGGGTGGCAAAGGGTCTCAATTCAGGAGCTGATGTGCATGGCTGCTCCCACTGGAAACCACAAGTCTCCAGGGACCCAGAAAAGAGGACCATTTTGGACGAGCTAGACAGGGAGAGTTTTGGGGCTGGCAATGATCTGAAATGAAAGGATACCTTCAGAACGAGTGAGCAAGAGGCACCCTCACCCCCTACCCAGAGCAACACCATTTCTTTCACAACTGTTTCTCTCTGACCGAGCTCTCGTGGAATACCTGCTTTGTTCTTCTTCTTGGAAATGGAGCAGCTCTTCACCACACCCACTTTGGAAAACACCTGGAAGAGAAGGTCAGCATGTGTTAACAGCTAATCCTGCAACTGGTGCAGGCGTGTCTTGAAACAGGGGTCCCCAACCTCCAGACTGTGGACCGGTATCTCCAGTAAGATCAGCGGTGGTGTTAGATCAGAAATAAAAAGTGCCCAAGAAATGAAATGCACTTGAATCATCCTGAAACCATGGCCCCCGTCCCAGTCTATGGAAAAATTGTCTTTCACGAAATCAATCTTTGGTGTCAAAAAGGTTGGGGACCGCTGACTTGAAAGCTGGAGGGGACCCAGTCCACTGCAGGCGTGGGCAGGACGCGAGTAAGAGCGGAGGCTACTGGACTTCCCCATTGTCTTCCCCTCTGCCCCTCCTATGAATGCAACACTCTCGGCCACCAGGCTCTCCTGGCAGGACTGCTCACTGCTGTGCCCCTGCTTGGCTCCGCAAAGCCAGAAGAGTGCACTGGCTTGGCGTTTATGTCAGCCTCGCAGACACCACGTGGGGAGGGGCCTGTCTTCTGACTACAGCTTTCACACCGCATACGCCTCCCCGGCACCCCGAGAGGGCCTCTCATGTGGCTCATGCGCACAAAGACACCCCTCCCAGTCCCTGGTGGTGTCTGACCATGCCTCACATCTCTGGGTGAGATGCCCACCACACGGCCTAGCTAACGACTCAAGCAGGCGGCTGTAGGTTCTCATCCACACGCCACCACAGGTCTCGCTTCTAGGTGAGGGGTGGGGGGTGGGAAACAGATGCAGGGAACACCGGGATAGATCAGCAGACCGGAAGTCCCACCCCCACCCATTCCCTCTGGGCCAGGAGGTCACTCACTCCCTTCAGCGTCTCCTCGGTGGTGTCGAAGTTGAGATTTTTGATAAACAGAGAGCACCCAGGAAGGCTCTCCTCCTCCTCCTCCTCCTCTTCCTCCTCCTCTTCCATCTTTGCTGAAGCGTCGTGTGCTGCTCCATCTGTCGGCTGATCACCTTCTGGGGTCTCACCATCTGCATGGGCCAATCCCCCCACCAAAAGAAATCCGTTAAATGATGTCTTATCTGCCTAAGCACCAGGACCTAAAGCACAGAACCTGCTAGACCAAGAGGGATCAAGAGGGTTCTGTCTCTGAGTGGCCAGTGTCAGGAAGGGACGGGACTCTGTGACTCTGGCTCACGCAGTGTTTCAGCGACTCTCTGGGGGCAAAGTGGGGGAGGGGGAGAAACCATCCTGCCCTTGTCTTCAAGAGAAAGGAGTACGCAGCACAGACCAAAAACCAGGAGCGCTAACTTAGATGAACCAACATTCATCAGAGGGAACAGCACTGCAGGAGAAGGGGAGGGCAAGAGTGAGGTTGTGAGTTACAGGGTGGGCGTAGGGCTGCAACCTGGGCCACCGGTCAGCCCTGGTGGTGAGTGTGGAAGCCTCTTGAGGTTGGGAATTGCATCAGGACTTCCTGAGAAGTTATGCTGCTGGGAAATGTGTTCTGTTTGGGTCAACCTCCCTAGTTTCTTTCATGATCAGGGTCTGGGGACAATCACCCTTCCCCCACATACAGATTTTGGAAGCTCCCCCAATACCGACCCCCACCCCCGCCAACCACCACCACCCCGGAGAAATCAAACCTCATCTTAGCCATTCTCCAAAGCAGTTAGTCCCCACCTCTCCAAGGCTCCCTCCCCCACCCCAGGTCTGAGCCCCGCACACAATGGGGACACTCTGTTCTCCTGCCAACGCTCACACTCAAGTAGTTCAAGCCCAAGGGAGCAGCTGGGGCTGCAAACCCATCCTTTGCACCCTCATGCTGAGCACCAGAGCCATCCCCGTCTCCCTGGCCCTTTCTGATGCAAGCCCACTGCTGGCCAGTCCTAATTAAACTTCAACCGCTTTGTCATGAAACAACCCTTTCAAGTCCTAATGGAAACAGCAACAGTGAGGACTCTGCCGTTCCACATCAGTTGAACATCAGCAGAGGGCAGCCTCTGCTGTTGGCACTCCCGTGGAGGTGAACCCAGAATCTAGACTCTCGCTCCAGGACAAAAAAGAAGAAATCTACATGAAGGCTCCCTCCCCCATGCAAGAAACTCACGCAATTTCCCCAACAAGTGACTCCATGGTGTGGCCATTTGTTCTCAAAACCCAACTTTCAAAGCAAAGTGGGGTGGGAAAAAAAGTATTTTTAATGATGGGGAAGAAAGCTGTGCTGAGAGGCTGAGACTCCAGGTTCTGAATGAGAACTTCAATCGGAAAGACGACCGTGACCTTCAGCTTCGAAGGACACCCGCCCCACTGGCTCTCCTTGTGCCTGACGTCTCGGACAAGAAAGCAGAAAGGAAGGGGCGCTGATCAGATGCCCCACTGCGTGCACGGGCTGGCCAGGCACTGTGAGGACGTTCTCCCATTGCACAGTGCCACATCACCATAAACGGGAGGGGCCTGAAGAAAGTCCCAGAAGTCGCTGCATCTGAACCCTAAACCCTCGGCATCTTCAAGTTGGGAGAGAGGTTCATGGGAGACTGACTGAAAAGAATTTTTTTCTGCAGATAAGACTGGTGGGGTTGACGGTGACCGGGAGAGCTCATGGCCACTTAAGGGGCAGCCTGTTCGCAGCACCAGCCAACAGCTGCCACGTGGGCAGATGGACCCCACTTACGGACGGGTGCTTGAAGCTTTCACAAGAAGCTGCGGGGTCATGGCTAAGGGCACAGACCTTGGAGCTGGTGGCTGTGGGGCACAGCCTGGCTCTTTCCAGATGTGGGACCTTGCAGAAGTCCTTCAGCCTCTCTGTGCCGCCTCCTTTCCATTCAGAACAGGGGAAGGGCAATCACACAGTTATAAGAGCTAATGCACAGACACCCTGGCAGAACAGCGCCCGGGCCAGGTGAAAACGCTGCGAACCCCTAACTCTGAAGGCCCATGGCCGTGGGAGGCAGGCTGGCCTGTGGTAGGCTTTAGAGAACAGCTGGTGGGTGCCACAGCTCTGAGTCCGGGGGACTGTGTCTCTGCCGGCCATGTCCCTGGGAAGGGCTTCCTCCTCCCTGGGTGGCCAGGCCCTGCTGTGGGCCATGCCCGCGCCTAGAAAGGCACGCAAATGGCCTAGGACGAAGCCAGAGGTCAGGTGAAGTGCGCTTCTGCCCCTGACCTCCAGTGAGCAGAGGACAGGAAGACTGAGAAGGAGAAAGGATGTATCATGAACCAAATAGACCGTTTGCCAATGACCTCACCGGGATCCAGGAAAAGAGGGAAGAAGCAGGAGCAGGATGGGGTGGGGGTGGGGGTGCTGGGGACCAGGGGGAAGGCTTGGAAAGCAAGGTGGGGTGGAAGGGGGCTGGGAGAGGCAGGGGGTGGGGGGTATGCTTCCATCTGTGGTTGGCACAATAAAATCCAGTCACGCGTTGCCACATGGGGCTTTATTATAATCGGGCCGCAGAATTTACGGTGTCTCCCTCCCCTTCCCGGCTCTGGGCGCGGAAAGCTGACAGCACAGACTGTTATCAGTTGCAAGCAGCTTTTCAGGACCTCCCCCCACTCAGAGCCCTTTATCTGGAGGTGAGGGTCTTGGTTGTGGGGAGATAAAACACACTGTCCCCCTCCCTCGAGACGGGTACAGAGAACGGAGGGCTTTGCAGAAAAGAAGGCAGGGGCAGGGGGAGGGGAGAGGGGGGCAGTGAACAAAAACTCCTCCATCCATTCCCCTCCTGCTCAGCTTCTTGGGGAGCCTGGGAAAATCCAGGGCTGGGGGCTGGCTGAGTCCCCGGGGCCAAGGGGACTGGGAACTGGGGAAGCTTCGCGGACAGTGTGTAGAGGGCGGGCGTGGGGGAGGAGCGGGTGAAAACGAACAGCTCGGGGACCATGTATGTGATACGAGTAAGAAAGAGAACAAAAAAGGGTGAAAGGAGGCTGGGAGATGAGCTCTGTAGGGATCTGCCTGCTGACGACACAGGACTCAGTGGGGCCTGAAATCAGCACAGGCGCGCACAACTTCTTGGCCCCAAATCCCCTGTATTTGCCACAACTATGGGCTTCCTCCTCCCTGCTCCAAGGCCGCCTTTGTGTGAGCTATGGCAGGACCTTGGACAGCAGCCCCTCGGAGGAGGCAGGGCCTGGCCCGGGATGCTCAACACCTGCAATCGAGGGGTGGGCGGGGCGGTCCTCTACCTTCTGACCAGCGTACACTATTTCAGCAAAGCCTCCCCTTGCAGGGCTCCAAAACATTCTGCATCCAGGGCCCATGTCTATGACTGTGACATCTCGGCTACCCCCTAAAAGCTCCCCCTGTCCCCCGGCCAGCCCAGGAGCTTCTGGAGAAGGTGGTATGTGTTGGGCCCATCCTGGTCACCTCAGCTCAGCAGCTGGAACCTGGCCGATGCTCAGGGCTGAGTTCGAGACCATCCCTTCAGCTGACAGTGCTGAATCATGCAGGACGCAGGTCAGACTAATGGTGATGGACGGGTGGCTGGCTTCTCACCGCTCTCTCACAAACGCCTCCTGCCCAATGTACAGATGCAGAACAGCCTCGGAGAAGGCTGGTGGCCCGCCCAGCCACGGGGCTAGGAGAGGACAAAGAAGACAGAGGCTTCCCCAGGAGCCGTAAGCCTCACATCCTGAGGACCCGGGGTGCCTAGTGCAGGGCCTGGCAGCGAGGAAATGCGGCTTTGGCCCGCGGACTTGCTCAGCACCCACTTCTTGCTCTCCCACATGACACCAGGTGCTTTTTCGGGTGCTGGGGTACAGCAGTGTGGAAGCAAAAGCGGTGCCCGCCCTGTGGGATGGACGGCTAGTGAGGGAGTTGGACAGACAGGAAGCGAAGCAGTAAGGATGCACATCTGGAAGTGATAAGCGTTTGCAACAAAGTTAAGAACAAGGTGAGGACTTCCCTGGTGGTCCCATGGTTAAGAATCTGCCTGCCGATGCAGGGGACACAGGTTCGATCCCAGATTGGGGAAGATTTCACATACTGCTTTGGGGCAACTAAGCCCATGAGCCACAACTACTAAGCCCACGTGCCCTAGAGCCTGTGCTCCGCAAGAAGAGAAACCACCGCGATGAGAAGCCTGAGCACTTCAATGAATAGTAGCCCCCATTTGCCGCAACTAGAGAAAGCCCACGTGCAGCAACCCAGCTAGCACAGCCAAAACTTAATTTTAACTAAAGAGGGAGATGAGACGGTGGGTGTGAATTGGCACCCATGAGGGCAGCCACGGCGATGACTGGCACGGATGGCGCCACGTGCTGATGCTGGGCTGACGATGGAGAACAGAGCTTCCAACGTCACCAAGTTCTACTACGTGCTGGGGCTCGGGACACAAGGCCAAGGATGACCCAGCCCCTACTTGTCACAGGGGGAGACAGAGAAGCACAGAAACCCCTTTTCCTGCATTCATTCACTCCTTTCGACTCACATTCCTCGAGCCACTCCATACCTGGCGCCCCATGGGGTGCCTGGCGCCCAGCAGTGAGTAGGAGGGCGATGCCCTCATGGTCCCCCCTCCAGCAGTGAGTAGGAGGGCGGCTCCACGCCCTCATGGTCCCCCCTCCAGCAGTGAGTAGGAGGGCCGCTCCACGCCCTCATGGTCCCCCCTCCAGCAGTGAGTAGGAGGGCGGCTCCACGCCCTCATGGTCCCCCCTCCAGCAGTGAGTAGGAGGGCCGCTCCACGCCCTCATGGTCCCCCCTCCAGCAGTGAGTAGGAGGGCGGCTCCACGCCCTCATGGTCCCCCCTCCAGCAGTGAGTAGGAGGGCCGCTCCACGCCCTCATGGTCCCCTCTCCAGCAGTGAGTAGGAGGGCCGCTCCACGCCCTCATGGTCCCCCCTCCAGCAGTGAGTAGGAGGGCGGCTCCACGCCCTCATGGTCCCCTCTCCAGCAGTGAGTAGGAGGGCCGCTCCACGCCCTCATGGTCCCCTCTCCAGCAGTGAGTAGGAGGGCCACTCCACGCCCTCATGGTCCCCTCTCCAGCAGTGAGTAGGAGGGCCGCTCCACGCCCTCATGGTCCCCTCTCCAGCAGTGAGTAGGAGGGCCGCTCCACGCCCTCATGGTCCCCTCTCCAGCAGTGAGTAGGAGGGCGACGCCCTCATGGATCCCCCCTCCAGCAGTGAGTAGGAGGGCGGCTCCACGCCCTCATGGTCCCCCCTCCAGCAGTGATGGATGTTACGAAAGTGAAACAAGTGAACAGACAGGATAAATACAAACTGTGACGAGCGCCACAGAAGAAAAGGATGGCGTCACAGGAAGGTGCAGGACAGGTGACAGGACAGGTGCAGAAGGGTGCGGCCACGTGGCAGCAGCCACCACGCTCAGCGGTCCCACCAGGGCAGGCAGAGGCCTCCGCTGGGCCTGTTCCCAGGACCCTCACTCTTGGCAAATCTGTGCTCTAAGGTAGGACTTGCTTTTGGCCAAAAAACAGGAGTCACGTCCAAGTTTAATAACTTAAGTGAAAATCAAAGTTGACGATAATTTGAGGCTGATGGCTGATTAAGAAGAAACTGTGATTACATAAAGAAAATTCCTTTTGAAGAGAGCATAAGCAGGTTGGAAGAGAAGGCTAATCCAATCTGTAGACAAAAATAACTCACAGATGGGGGCTAGTGAGGGACTTCTCAAAGATCTGTATCCATGATTGGTAACCCCAATGGGGAGGGGTGCTTTGGGGGCTGTAGAAAGCAGAGACTGAGGAATTTTCCCTCCTAATGGAAACGAGGCTTCTTGTCCAGGGGATCCCAATGCCTTGTAGCGACTGGGCCAGTCCTGAAGGTGGTTTTACCAATCCAAGATGAACTGGGATATGCAGACAGCTTAGGGAGGTTTGTGAACAGCGAGGTCTATTCAGTTAAAAGGACTGTTCTTTCATGTGAGAATTTTGTTTCCCACCGCTCACTTCTCCCACTCCTATAACACCCATTCTTTTATTAGGGGTAAATGGGAGATGCAATTTTTTAACCCTTATTTGAATAAACTGGCAACCTGATGGTAAGATGGGAGTAAGGAGGAGGAATATTACCAATGGGCGAGATCTTTTTTTAAAAAATTGTTTCTCATTTTTATTTATCTGTTTTTGGCCAAACTGTGTAGCATGTGGGATCTTAATTCCCTGACCAGGGATGGAATCTGTGCCCTGCCCCCCTGCAGTGGAAGCCTGGAGTCTTAACCACTGGATCACCAGGGAGGTTCCAGCGTAAGATCTTACTGTCTGGGTGAGGGGCTGCCGGGTCTTCTCTAAAGGCCTCAGATTCTAGGACGGAGTCACGGGCCTCTGACCAAGTGGTTCTCAACTGAAGGCTGCACTGTCCCCTAGAGGACAACCGGCATGCAGGGGACGTCACAATTACAGGGGACACTCCTGACATTCAGGGAGCAGGGTCAGCAAGATGTCTCACCATTCAATTCGCACAACAGGGCTGACGAGGGAGAGCTGTGCTGCGGACTGCCAGCGGCGCCCCATCCCCGCCCAAGCGTGAAGCGGGTGGGGTCGCAGGTCCCTCCCCTTTCCTGCCTTTGCAGTCACTGGACACCAGAGGGAGCCACCCCAAGGACCCGGAGATTGAGGACCTCTTACAATAGCCCACAACAGCCAGGCTCACCTATCCTGGCAGATCTATCAACTAGAAGGTGGTCTTCTCTTGCTCTGCTCTGAATCCCTCCTAATAGATTCTAGTTGCTTCTTTTTCCCCTTTCACAACCTTTACTTGACAAATCAAAAAAAGTCAGCTTACCTTAACCATACCCATCATTTTTACGTTCTGTTTTTTAAGGACATTTTTCATGCCTATAAAATCAAAAAGTCGGGCACCCACCAGTGTCAGGATGAAAAAAACTTTCAACCGAATACCTGATACACACTTCGGTGCTGCCCCCAGTCCGCCCTTCCCCTGCCTGCTGCCTCAGGACACCCTGATCTCAGACCCGGCTCTCACCTGTTTCTGCCTCCATCCTGTCCGTTCCCGCTGGTTCCACTGGTGCGTCTTGGAGTTCTTCTTTCTGGGGGGCTGGACTGGAAAAGACGCCCATCGGAGCCCACTCCAGATAAAGGGGGACGTGGTGGAACTGCAGAGAAGCGGGGAGAGGGACTCAGTCCACGACACAGACCAAGAGCCTGAGGCTCAGAGTATGGGTGATTCCCTCCCCACCACCCCAGGCAGTGGAGTCAGGTGGGGCACAGCCTAGAACCCTACGTGCCATCTGAGCCCTGAGAACACGGGGGCCCTTGCTGGTTCAGGGGAGAGGTCAGAGCATCTGCTGTCACTGGACACATCTGTGTCCCCTTAACCTTCTCTAATGGGGTGTGAATGGCAGCAGAATTGGGGGCAGAACCATGGATACAGGGCAGCCCCCCTGGAGGAGGTACAGCAGGCTGTGCGACACCAGGCTTTCTCTCCTTCCACAGACACACATTCACAGAGAGTGCTTGTGCACACATGTGCGTGCAGAGAGTTTTTTTTTTTTTTTGAAAGGATAAACAAGACAAACAGTCTGCAAAGCATTGAAGTGCTTGACAGAGAGCAGCTACTTGCAGTGGGTTGAATGGTGGCCCTTCAAATGATAAGTCCATGTCCCAATTCCCAGAACATCTGAATGTGGAAAAAACGTCTTTGCAAAAGTTTGTTAAGTAAATGATTCTGAGATAAGGTCACTCTGGATTACTTGGGAAGGCCCTAAATCCAATGACAAGAATTCGTGTAAGAGAAAAGGAGAGGGAAGATCTGAGTTGAAGAAAAGGAGAAAGCTGTGTGGACAGAAGCAGAGACTGGAGTAATGTGGCCACAAGCCAAGGGATGACTAGAGCCATCAGATCCCAGAAGGGGCCAGGAAAGATCTGTGCCCCGACCTCTAAGAGCCTTCAGAGAGAGCACTGCCCTTGGCCCTTGAACACCTTGATTTCAGAGTTCAGACCCCCAGAACTGTGACAGAAAACATTTCTGTTCCTTTAAGCCACTAAATTGGTGTTATTATGGCAACCACAGAAAGGAATACACTAATATATATATTTTTTCTGCTGTTACCAAAGGGCTTCCCAGGTGGCACTAGTGGTAAAGAACCTGCTTGCCAATGCAGCAGATATAAGACAACAGTTTCGATCCCTGGGTCAGGAAGATCCCCTGGAGGAGGGCATGGTAACCCACTCCAGTATTCCTGCCTGGAGAATCCTATGGACACAGGAGCCTGGCGGGCTGCAGTTCACGGGGTCACAAACAGTCGGACACAACTGCAGTGACTTAGCATACACCAAAAAACAGGAGGTAGCCTGCCTTTCAGCTTTCAACTAATCCTAGGTACAAGGCATCCAAAGCACCATGGATGATGGTTCAAGTTTACAGGGGACTAGAAAGCTGAGGGACCCAGCATCAGCAGGGAACCAAGGCAGGCTTCCTGGGGGATGTTTGGAGCCTGTCTTTCACATTCCCCATTCAGAGGTGCTCCCAGGGGTGGGGTGACAGTTGCAATCTTGACAGAGACAGGTGGTTTCCAGCACAAGTAGGGTCTAAGATCTAAGCCAGGACGGCCTATCTGTCAGCTCCCTCCGTCCTCTCCTGCAAGCGGGGCTTGGGTGGCCTTACCTTGGAGTAGGCTAGGTGTCGGAAGGCCTTGCGGGCCTCCAGCGGCTCCAGGAACTCCACGATGGCCGTGACGCCGCCCTCCGGCAGGAGCACACGGCCCAGGCTGCCGAAGCGGCTGAAGATCTCCTGCAGCTCAGCCGCCAGGGTGCCTGCAGGGAGATTCTTCACCAGGATCACAGTCTTGCTTCGCTCGGCGGCAGCCTACAGGGAGGGGACAGCTCAGTTGCGATGACGGGAGGGAGTCACTGGCCCTCCAGTTGCAGCAAGTGATGGGTGGGTAAACCCAGACCAGGCACCCATGTAAGACCTTAGGTACCAGGCCCTTAGGAATCTGGCCCAGGAGACCCCGTTCTCTCTGGAGGGGGATGAGGGGTGGGGATGAGGGTGAAGGCTCCAGGGTTGGACCCCCCACCCTGACCCGGGTCAAATCCCAGCCCCATCATTTCTGAGGCGAGGCATATTCTGACACTGCCTGACCACAGCCCTCGGTGGACCTTCTGGAACACTCCAGCCAGGGCCGGGAGCTGCATCCCGGCACTCAGGGCCTCTGCCAGGAACTGCAGACCGCCTGCCACCACACGTGTGAGGAGTTAACACCGGGTGGGAGTGGCTCATGGTCCTCTGGAGTTGGGTGCGTTCCCAGTCCTTTGGGTGGGACAACTCCGATGTGAGTTGGGTGGCTGTCCCCCCAGGAAAGCCTCAGCCTGCCGCCCCACCAGCACAGCCTGTACTGGGCTCATCCCGCCTCCCCCCTTCTTGCCTGTGTGTTGTCCAATGAACTACCTGCGCTTGAATCTGTCACTGAACTGGCTTTTGGAAGAACCCAAAACAAGACACCAGGTGTCCAGCCTTGAGACATGCACTCGGCTATGGCTCAGCTGATCACCTTTCACAGGGACACGGCAACCATTTCATGGATTATTCCAGGAAAGGAGTCTATCAAGTTGACACAAGCAAACTGATTCAGTATGAGCCGGCTGACGTTAGCAATTATTTCCTTAAAAATGCATGGCGGATGGAGTATCAAAGCTGAAAAAACCAACAGGAAGAAGTCCAGGCGTGGGGTCTGTTTGGGAACAAGTCTCAGCCCGGCCACTGGTCTAACCTGAAACCTTCGGTCAAGCGCTCTTCCTCTAGGCCTATTTTCTTTCCCTTGGTTTTATACTGGAGTATACTTGGTAAAGAATCTCCCAATGTAGGAGATACGGGCTCGATCCCTGGGTTTGGAAGATCCCCTGGAGAAGGAAATGGCAACCCACTCCAGGATTCTTGCCTGGAGAGTCCCATGGACAGAGGAGCCTGGGGGGTCACTCAGAGTCGGACATGACTGAACAACTAAACAACACAGCTGACACAACGTTGTGTTAGTTTTCAGGGTGCAGTGAAGTGGTTCATTTACACACAGTCATTCCTTTTCAGTCTTCTCCCATACAGGTTGTTACAGAGTATTGAGTTGAGCTTCCTGTGCTCTTCAGTAGGTTCTCCTGTTTTAAAAAATTTGTTTATTTTCTGGCCATGTGACTTGTGGGATCTTAGTTTCCAGACTAGGTACTGAACCCATGCACCTTGCAGTGAAAGTATGGAGCCCTAACCACTGGACCGCCGAGGAAGTCCCTAGTAGATACTTTTAGGCATTTCTTTGGCCACACCACTTGGGAATCTTAGTTCCCCCAACCAGGGATCAAAACCAGTCCTGCTGCAGTGGACATGCAGAGTCTTAGCCACTCTGGACCACCAGGGAAGTCCCACAGTAGGTCCTCGCTGATTATCTCTATCCCTCCCCACCACGTCCCCCCTGGGAACTGTAAGCTTTTCTGTGAAGTCTGTGAATCTGTTTCTGTTTCTAAGTTAATTCACATAATTTTTTTAAGATTCCACATGTAGATGATATCGTGTGATACTTGTCTTTCTCTGAATTATGTCACTTAGTATGATAATCTCTGGGTCCCTTCATGCTGCTCTAAATGGCATTACTTCATTCTTTTTCTGGCTGAGTAATACTCCACTGTAGAGAAGGACATCTTCGTTATCCATTTATCTGCTGATGAACATTTCGGTTGCTTCCATGTCCTGGCTGTTGCAAATGATGCTTCACTGAATATTGATGTGAATGTATCTTTTCAAACTATGGAAGGCAAAAGGGGAAGTGGGCAGCAGATGATGAGATGGTTGGATAGCATGATCAACTCAATGGACATGAATCTGAGCAAACTCCAGAAGATAGTGGACAGAGGAGGCTGGCGTGCTGCAGTCCATGCAGTCACAGAATTGGACACAAGTTAATGACTGAACAGTAACCAGATATATGCCCAGGAGTGGGGCTGCTGGATCATATGGTAGCTCCATTTTTAGTTTTTAAAAGAACCGCCATACTGTTCTTTATAGTGGCTGTTCCAATTTACATTCCCACCAGTGGTGTAGGAGGGTTCCCTTTTCTCCACAGCCTCTCCAGCATTTATTGTTTGGAGATTTTTTTGATGATGGCCATTCTGACTAGTGTCAAGTGATACCTCACTGTAATTCTGATTTGCATTTACCTAATAATTAGCAATGCTGAGTATCTTTTCATGTGCCTTTGGCCATCTGTATGTCTCGTCTGAAGAAATGTCAACTGAGATTTTCTGTCCACTTTCTGATTGGGCTGATATTGATATTTGATTTTTGATATTATGCTGCATGAGCTATTTTGAAGATTAATCCCCTGTTGATCACATCAGTTGCAAATATTTCCCCTCATTCTGTGGCTTGTCTTTTTATTTTGATCATGGTTTCCTCTTCTGTGCAAAAGCTCTTGTGTAATTAGATCTCATTTGTTTATTTTTATTTTCATAGCTCTAGGAGGTAGATCCAAAAAGATACCGCTATGATTTATGTCAAAGAGTGTTCTGCTTATGTTTTCTTCTAAAGGGCCTCAGTTTGTGCATCTCCAAATTGGGCTAATGGCAACACCCACCTTTTAGCTATAGGCCTCCCGCGGTTGCTATGAGGGTTGAATGAGGAGAAGGGGCTAGAAGCCATCGGCAGCGGGGGAAAAGCCAGGCACCAGTGAGTGTTTAAGTGTAACTCAGGTCACAGAGTGCACTGGTAAGAGGCATGTACTCTTGCGCCTGCATTCAAATCCAGCTCCATGGTGACCCAAGACGGGTGAATCTGTGACTGTGGGCCGTTCAATGCGAACACAACGGCGCTGCCTCTCTGGGGTTGTAATGAGGGTGAAAGAACTAATAAAGCACATAAATGGAAAAGAGTGCTTTGGGAAGCCCCACTCCAGTGTTCTTGCCTGGAGAATCCCAGGGACAGGGGAGCCTGGTGGGCTGACGTCTATGGGGTCGCACAGAGTTGGACATGACTGAAGTGACTTAGCAGCAGCAGCAGTGAACATTAAGATACTAGCACACTTTCTTAATTCATCCATCCACTCACCCATGAAATGCCCCTACCCATCATTCCCACTTTCTATGTGCCCACTTACCATCCAAGCATGTAATTATCCTTCCACTAGCTACCTGTCCTTCCATCTGAACCATTCTTTTAAGATGAAACTTTTTAAGTTTTGGTGAAGTTGAGGAAACTGCAGATTGGGGGTGTAAAGCCCTGAGACTGAGTCCAGGCTCCTACAACAGACTCACTGTCTGACCTTTTTGTCCTCCCCTCTCTGCCCCCAGACTTCAGGTTCCTAGTCTATAAAGTGAAGTGTGTTGGGGGGGAGTGAGGGAGTGGCGACGTCAAGTGTTTCAGCAAGCACTTGAAGGCTTCACTGTCCAGATACCTAAGAACCTCTACCTAGTGGGGCAGAAGCATGTGGAGGACCCTCCTGCCACGTAGCTCAAGAAAGGTCTCAGTCCCCAAACACACCACAGGTGCTCTTAGTAAGGTGCTAGCGGGGCAGGGGAGAGACAGGATGAAGGATGCTTAGGGCTCCCACCCAACCTGTGTAAGGGCCCCCCTGACAGCTCAGTTGGTAAAGAATCTGCCTTGCGATGCAGGAGACCCTGGTTCGATTCCTGGGCCAGGAAGATCCCCTGGAGAAGGGATAGGCTACCCACTCCAGTATTCTTGGGCTTCCCCTGTGGCTCAGCTGGTAAAAAAATCCGCCTGCAATGCAGGAGACCTGGGTTCGATCCCTGGGATGGTAAGATCCCCTAGAGAAGGGAAAGGCTACTACCCACTCCAGTGTTCTGGCCTAGAGAATTCCAAGGACTGTATAATCCAAAGGGACAGGCCAGGAGTCTGAGCCAATGATCTTTCTTACTTTAATTGACAGTTGCAAAGTCAACAATGATCGCCTTTGACAGACCCAACCCTCCAACCCTTGCCCATGTCCCCTGATGTTGAGACCTGCATCCCCAAGGGCACCCACCTGGCTGAAGGAGTCCAGACAGACCCCGTTGTCGAGGAGGAAACGCCGCACTTCCTGGACGAGCTGGGTCTCCCCCAGGGCCACGCGCACGGCCACGCTGCCCTTGGTCTCCTGCAGAAGGGAAAGGGAAGATGCCCTGTCAGCTGTCGGGCAGGCGATGGGTCAGCTGTCACACCTCCTAACAGTCTGAAGAGGAGGCATGGATGGAGCGAGACCCTATGGATGCTCCCCATGGATGCCCGCTCTGACTTGATGGTTCTGGGTTCCACGTCTGTTGGGGTGAATCAAGGACCCCATGTTCACCCCTCCACTCGTACATAAGGATCTCATGTCAAGTTCATTCCCGCCTCGGGGCTTCTATATAGACTCAGCTCCACCCTCCATTCAATTTCTGCCTGAATGACTCATCCCTGGGCAGCCCACTCGCTCTCACTCTGTGCCCCTACTTGGCTGAAGCTTTCTTCAGGTCAATGCACAGCGCCTTGGTTAATGAGCTCACGTCCTCCACTGCTGGAAGGTTCAAGAGCTGGATTGTTTCCCTTCATGACCCTGCTGCCTTCCCGCCCAGCCGGTGCAGAGCGCCTCCTCCCCTGCCCAGAGCAGGGGAGGCGTCAGATGGGGTGCCCACTCACGTGGTCGAACACTTGACTCTTGGTGGCGCTGTACTTCTGGGCGATGGCATCGGCCACTGCATTGGGACCCATGAACAGTGTGTTCCAGTTGTGAGAGCTGAGGCAGGACAGAGAGATCAGATGGACGGTGAAAGGGGGAAGCTCTTTTCAGATGCAAAGCCTGTAAGAAAGGAGCTCCTGGGCCTGCCTCCCCAAGTCCCCAAAGCCTCCTCCTGCTCTGTCTTACCTGGTGTGGGCCAAACCCCCAGGGCCCGCAGACAACAGAGCCATGATGAGATTAACACCAGCTCAGGTCCGTCAAGCGCTCTCTCCGCGCCAGGGACCGAGTGCGTTGCTCACATTAACTCACTTGGTCCTTACAACACCACGAAAGTGAGGCACCACTGATTCTCCCCATCTTGCAGATGGGGAAACTGAGGCACAACAAAGTTACGGATGAGGGGCTAAGGCCACCACAAGGAGCTGGGAGCCCAAGGGGCAGGGAGAGGAGGGACGAGAGCAGGGAAGCCCGGGTCGGAGGCAGGTACGGACCTGGAGCTATTGGCTTTGTCTTTGGACTCTTTCTTCTTCTTGTAGGACGATGATCCTGGGGCATCGGCATCCTCACTGGCCTCCTTCTTGACAGTGGATGGTAACACGTGGAGCATCCTGCCCTGGAGGGGGGACGAGAGGAAGGAGGTGAGGACAGGCAGGGGGCTAGTGCTTCTACATCCTGCCCGGGGAATGCTGGCCTCTCCACGAGGGGGCTGGACCCAGCGCTGAGACTGCTGTCATAAGACGGGGGCCTCGGGCAGAATACCCACGAGGCTAGCACAGGGGCCGGACACCGCCTCAAAGAGTACGCTGAGCAGTTTGGAAGTAATACCTGCAGGGCTCTCCACCCCACCCTGCCTCTGTGAGCCTGAGAGCTCCATGTGGGCAAGGATCAGGTCCGGCCGGGCAGCCACAGGGATCAACACATCATGAGCGAATGAGTGAACGACAGGAAAGGGAGGCGTGTGTGCCAAGCACGTTACTTGGAAAAGAGAAGCTCCTTACGTTCTATACTGTGGCATTTCAATGACAGTTCAAAACTCTTTCCTTCCTTCCTCCTCCTCCAAGTGGTATTTCTTAAGCCGGAGAGCATGTTCATTTAATCCACAAACACTTTTTAAAGGCCTACTATGTGCCAGGCGCTCCTCTAGGCGCTAAATCAGGGACCAGAACTGAGCAGATGCTGCCCCTGGGGGGGGACCCCTCCCAGCAGCTCAGATCAGGAGGGGGCTTCACGGGCATCGGGTGCACGTCCGTGCCTGCACACGCACGTGCGCACACACGCACAGCCTCCGCCCACCACCCGGGCCCACCAGGCGCCCGCCAGCCCACGGGCCGTCACCTGGAACACCCGCCCGTCCAGCTCCGCGTAGGCCTTCACGGCGTGCTCCGGGAACATGAAGGTGACGAAGGCAAAGCCCTTGGGCTTCTTGGTCAGGCTGTCGATGGGGTAATGGAGCTCCGACAGGGGACCTGCGGGCAGGAAGGGTGTCAGTGTCCCGAGGCTGGAGCCAGGCCTGAGCACTGGGCAGGAAAATTCTGGGCAGTAGTCAGGGGAGGGGTTTTAACCAGAGGGAGCGTGGAGCTGCAGCAGCTGCTGGGCCCAAGAAGGACAGTGGCGAGGGGCTGCCATGAGACCCCCACCTGACGGGCCAGGGTGTCCTTCGTGCGTCCATCCCAAGAGCAAGGTGCCTGGGCTGGGCCCTGCCTCCACCACCCACTTCCTCGGGGGCCACAGGCCAGCCACCAGCCTTTATGGGCCTCAGTCTTCTCATCTGTCAAGTGGTGCCATGAGTCCCCAGCTCAGAGGGCAGCAGGGAGGATTAAATGCACTAATAAGTGTCATGTACTAAACAGGGTCTGCTGGTCACGCAGGGTCTCAGAAGTGTCTGCTGGGACAGTATTACAATACTCATGTTAAAGTACACCCTTTCCACTGTGAACACCAGGGTGTGACCACGTCCTCCTCCCCAGATGGATACACAAGTCTACTGATCACCCTCTCTTCTGTGCTGGCCCTGCCTTGTAAACCAGGGCCCTGGCCTGTGCGGGAGGATCTGGCAAGCAGGACCCAGGCTGGGACGAGACACCCAATTGGCCAGATGGTTGAATCCTACTCAGGGTTCCCTTCTCCTTGAGACAGGGCCTCAACCAAGCTTCGATCCTTCTCAATCCACAGCTGATCTCTGAACAGAAGTGGAAATCCCCCTCCAGGGGATCTTAAAAGCATCTCGACCTGGCCCCTACCCACCATTTTGTACCCCTACTTCTTTCCTTCCATGGCCTTCTTTCCAAGGTCCATGACAACCATGACCTTACACAGGCATAGCCCTGTGAGCCAAGCTGAATTACGGGCCTTCAAGTCCATGCCCGACAAAATAACCCTAGCAGCCACGACAAGGAAAAGAGCCCTCGCGGGCAAACCTATCTGGATGCTCGGTCTGAGAGCAGGACTATTTAGACAGCAGAATTCAGAATGGAGAGCACTTCATATCCAAACATACAGTGAGTGGGCTTCCAAGACCAAAGTCAGGGTTTGGACACCAGGGTTTTCTCAGAAAACCATACCCAACCCCGTCAATTCTGAGTTTTAATGAGCGAGCTAAGGGAGTCTGGGTTCAGACCATGAAAGGTAGCTGTGATGCTATCTAAGACTTCGAGCTCCACTACCTACATCCTGTCTGACAGCAGCTGAGAGATCGTGAAGCCCATTTTATGGATGAGAAGACTGAGGCCAGAGAAGGAAGCCATTAGCCTAAGGTTAAGCCCAGGCATACAGGAGCTCAGACCGCTTGCCACAGGTGTGTACGGCGAGCCGGAGGCCGCTCCCCTACCGTATTTGGAGAAGAGCTTCTCCAGGTCCTCCTCGGAGCTGGTGTAGGGCAGGTTTCGCACAAAGAGTCTCCCAGAGTCGGCCAGGTCCTCCTCCTCTTCGTGCTCCCCAAGCATCCGGCCTTGCCAGGGTCTGGCGCCATTCTTCAGGGGTGCCCTGGCCGCGGGGACATTTCTTTCCCTGAATACCTCGATGTAGCGTCCGCCTGGGTGAGGAAAGGCCGTCAGGGCCCAGCTGGGGGGACGCCTGGAACCTGCCAGCTTCCAGACTCATGGCTGCCGCTGCTTTCCAGAGGCCATGGCGAAGGCGGCTGGGGATGGCACCGCATGCCAGGCTCTGGTCACCAGGATGGCGGCCCCAGCTGAAGCCGGGCCTTAATGTCACTCGGACGATGAGCTCGGCTTAAGCCCTGGGGGAGCTGGCCTGGGTCACAGGGCTGCATCTTCCCGATTCCAGGGCCTGGTCCCTGGCGCTGCCCTGGGAATCATCTCGGGTGATAGCCCCACCCTGAAGAGCCACCTGGTGCTGCCCTCAGCTGTGTCCCTGCATCGCTCTGAGCACCTGATTAGACTGCAACCACCACCTTCCCTCTACATGCACATATTAGGTGCTCAATAAATCCTACCACCTGGCTTGTGAGCAAGACTCCTTAGGTTACTCCCTTCTCTAAGAGAACTCACGTCCTCACAAGGGGTTGATGGCTGGATCTGAGTCACCTGTCCACACCAGGGACGGGTCAGAGATCATGTCCTTGTATACAGTCCAGAGAGCTCCCAAGTCTGGACCTGGCACTTGTTATTCCCTATAATGGAATGGCCCTGCCCCACAAAGCCAGAGCTGGCTCCCTCAATTCCTCCAGCTTTTGCTCCAAAGTCACCAGCTCAACGTGGTCCAAGCAGACAAGATCCCATTTAAATCCTTCAATCCCGACCCTTGCCTGCATCTGTCCACAGCACGACCCCTGTGGTTACCGCCTCTCTCTCCCCTCTCAATGTAAGTATCCTCTACAGGAAACTCAGCCTGATCTCTGCCCCAGGAGGCAGGGGCCTTATCCTCAGTGCCCTGGGCAGTGAGTGCCCAGCAGCGCACAGCAGACCCCCGACATGACCTTATGGAGTAACTGAAAGAACCCCTGCCACCATGCGGGCATCCTTACCCATGTACTCCCTGTTGCATTTCAGGGCCTTCCTCACTTCCTCTTCACTGCTGAAATCCACAAAGACATACCCTGCAAAAGGACCACGACAAAGGTAAGGTCCAGAGGCTGCAGATACTCGTGGGAGCCACGGAGGAACATTCGCACTGTGCTAGGTGTTTGGGGGAAGCAGCAGGAAGTGGTGGTGGGAAACCTACAGTTTCTGCCAAATCTCAAGAGATTTTCCTTCCACTCCCCTCTCCCCAGTGCAAATTTTCCTCTGCAGGAAGCATTCTGACCCTGTGGCCTGGCTTTCTGGAAAGAAAATGTTGGACCATAGGAGTCACAAACATGGGCAATCTTGGCCTCCCTCCCAGCCTCACCCCTGTGCTGACCAGTGCCTGCTCCTTGGCATTCTCCGGACAAGCGTCTATGGCGGCAGGGCTGTGCCCAGCTTGGCACCAGAGGGGCCACCTGCACAGTGACTGCCCGCGGCTCTGACTGGCACAAACAAGGAGGTGCCTTTCCAAGAACCAGGTGCCTTTCCAAGGAGTCTTTCCGAGAATGAGAGGCCTCAACCCTGACAGCCACACTCCCCTCCCCTCCCCTCCCCTCCCCACTTTTCTAAGAGGTGTGCTAAGACAGAGGTCTCCAACCTTTTTGGCACCAGGGGCTGGTTTTGCGGAAGACAATTTTTCCACAGACTGGGAGTGGGGATGGTTTCAGGATGATTCAAGCGCACTGCGTTTATTGTGCACTTTATCTCTAATATTATCATGTTGTGATAATGTGGTAATTTGAGCGATGGGAGTGGCTGTGAATACAGATGACGCTTCCCTTGTTCGCCAGCTGCTAACCTCTGGCTGTGCAGCTCCTAACAGGCTGTGGACGTGTCCCAATCTGCAGTCCAGGGTTGGGGAACCTGAGTTAAGTGATGTGCCCACGGACACATGGCTAGCAGGTGCCAGGGCCGTAACTTGCACCAAAGGCCGGGGCTTTGGTCTGAATCACAAGACTCTCACCTTGGAGACTGCAAAAGCTCCCATCGCAGCCCCCCTGGCTCCTTGGGCCCTGCCCCGGACTCTCCCTCACCAGCCCGGGGACCATCCTGAATCTGATCGCGGCCTCTTCTTGTTTTTGGTCCCCAGCCCCTGGGCTGAAGGCCACAGTCATTCCTCAGCCCCGAGGCTAGGGGGCCGGGCCCTACCTCCCCAGCTGAAAACCTCATACCTGTGGCAGGGGACAGGAGGCAGATCCTGTCCTGAGCACTGTCACATTCACTGAGGCGGGGACCACAAAGAGGATAAACCATCACTGTCCTCAAAGCATCTCCACAATTTAACTGTCCCAACCTTCCGGTCCAGGCACCTGCCTCTCCAGCCCCCTCAGAAACAGCCCCAGCCTCACCTGTTTTGTTCCCATGAGCATTTCTCACTATTCGAATGGCCACGGGTTTCAGAGGTGCAAGGAATTCCATGACATTTTTCTGTGAGGAGAAAAAAAAGTTTCTGTTCCCCGTTTCAATACAGATTTGGTCTGTATTTCTTGAATTACCAGTGAACTCAAGCATCTTTCTGGGCCATTTGAATTCTTTCTCTTAGAAAACATCCTTGCTTCTATCTACTTTTCTGTTGGGTCATCCATAGCTCCCAGTTTCTACTTACCTGTTTGTAAGTTAAAGAAATGAGTTCTGTCTGTTGTTTGTGTTATAAATGCCTGCTGTTTGCCTTTTGATTTTATGATACAAAGTTGCCTTAGAGAAATTTTAAACGTTATCTAGCCAATTAATCCATCTTTTTCCTATGACTACTGAGTTCTGCAACTTAGAAAGATGAGATGTCATTTTGACCCGTCACACTGATAAAGAGGGATGCCCAGGGTTCACAGGCATTCTCATACACTGCTGAAGGAGCATAAACTGGCCAAGCTTCCGGAGAGTGACTGACCTTCTATATCCAAACCTTAATAATGTACATGCAGGTGCTTGTATTATAAATACTTATACAAGCAAGGGCTGGCCCACAGGCCAAATACTGCCCACGGCCTACAAGCTAAGAGCGGTTTTTACATTTCCAAGGAATTATAAGGAAAAAAAAAAAAAGCACAAGAGATCATACTCCCACAAAAACCTAAAATGTGCACCAACTGATGTCAACAGAAAAAAGTCTGCTGACCTCTGATGTCAAAAAATGTGCTGACTACATCATTATTCAAAACTGCAGAAGACTGGAAACAATCCCCATGTCTCAGTTTAGGGCGTTGGGTATATGAGACATACGAGATGTGGGGTTCGATCCCTGGGTCTGAAAGATCCCTGGGGGAGGGCATGGCAACCCCCTCCAGTATTCTTGTCTGGAGAATCCCCATGGACAGAGGAGCCTGGCGGGCTGCAGTCCATGGGGCTGCAGACAGTCAGACACGACTGAAGTGACTTAGCAGCAGCAGCAACAGCAGTGAATATACTCAGTGCATCCAGAGTAAAACTAGCTCGGAGGGGACTTCGCTGGTGGTCCAGTGGTTAAGAATTGGCCTTGCAATGCAGGAGACTTGGGTTCGATCCCTGGTCAGGGAACTAAGATCCCATGTGCCCCAGAGCAACTAAGCCCACATGCCACAACTACTGAGCCTTCGTGCTGCAACTAAGATATGACACAGCCAAGTAAAGAAGAGCATGCAACGTGAAAAATGGTGTTGCAGCAGAATATTCAGTATTCAGAAATATTTATGACATAATATGATGGGGGGAAGTTTCAAAATAGTTCCTGCTGTAGGACTGCATTTTAAGAAGAAAAGACAGAGATCAGTGTTTGTATATAAAGAAAAAAAAAAATCTCTAAGATACACCCAGAATTTATTAGTGGTTGTCAGTGAATGCGATATAGATGTGGGGGTTGGAGGAGCCTGCTCCAATTTGCCTGGGAAGGTCAGTCTTTCCACCAATAGTAATCAGACCTGTAGGTCATTAGTCCTGCATCCTAATATCCTCTAGTTACCACTCTCCTCTCTCAAGGCAGTTTGGCTGGCAATTTCTATAGTCATCCCAGTGATAGGTCATTTTACTTTTTAGCTACACTAACAGAATTTCCTACACTGAACTTTTATACTACTTTCATGAGAAGGGAAACTTACAAAGTGTTCTCTCCTGTGTAGATTCAGAGCCAGCAAACTATAGGATGCAGGCCAAATAACAGCCCACTGCCTGTTTTTATAAATAAAGTTTCACTGGCACACAGCCATGCCTACTGGATTACCTGTCATCTAGGGCTGCCTCTGCTACAACAACAGGGTTGAACAGTGGTGACAGAGGCTAGACTGATTACAAAGCCTTAGGTATTTACTAGCTGGTCCCTTTTTAAACATTTTTAGCAGAAATAAGTTTGCCCACCCCTAGCATAGATGATCAATGAGGGAGCTCAGTCTTTCTCTGTCTCGGTATAGCCGTCTCTGTTTCCTGACCTTGACGATGCCCAAGATTCTATGTCTCAGCCTTTTCGGCCCCCAGTTCCCTTCAGCTCAAGTCCTCAACCGCCCCCGAAATCCCTGTGCAGCAGAGGCTCCAGGCACCCTCAGCCGCGTCTCCCCCTGCCCAGGGGCTCCCGGCCTCACCCGCTTCCTGGCACGCACCTCTGTGACGTTGAACGGGGCGCCCCGCAGTTTCACAGTGTGGGGGGTGGTGGGTTCCTTCTGGCTGGCTGGTTTCTCGGTCTGAGGGACGGCAGAGAGCAGAAACGATTGCACTGAGCTCCCAGGTGCAGCTGCAGGAGGAGCCGACCTGGGCGTCCAGTGAGCGTGCTGAGACCCCTGCCACCAGGCAAACGGGCAATGCCGGAAGCATCGTGCCTGCCAGGGATGCTGAATCAGGCCAGGGCCAGGGGAGGAGATGCTAATCCTTCATATGACCCCAAGATGAGGGCTGGAACCACAGCCTGGCTCACCAGGGGTCTGCTCACAGGGGCCCGGGCCACACAAAGGGGCAAGAGACTTGGAAGGAGCCCTCAGGTGAGATTTGCCACCATGGATTCAGGGCTTCCTCTGTGCCAGACATCGTACAAAGCGCTGTGCAGACACAGCCGCCCTCCTGAACCTGTGAAACAATCTGACAGGGGTTACAGCTTCGGGATGTCTTCTGTAATTTTAGAATTGAAAGAGCTCTGAAAAAAACCTAATTTGGGGGTTAATTCCTTTGGAAATAAAACCTGCCCTGATTTGTACTCATTTGCTGGTGAAACCTGCTCTGAGCTGTTCTGGCACAATTTAGAGTTTACAACTATGCCAAGTAGGTGAGCAACCAGGTCTAACACCACTGCAGAAAGAGTCACGTGCTTTTGTGGGGTGCTGCCCTGCGTGAGTTATGGGGTCCCTCCCTGAAGTCTGCAACTTCTGGGTTCCAGTGCACACTCAGGCATGGGGGTTGACCTTCATCTAAGATGAGGCTCAGCGAGCCCTGGGAATCAGACACAGGGACCAGGGCTCGCTGAGCCTCATCTCAGATGAAGGTCAGAGGCCGGAGGAGAAGCACTTCACCTCGGGACCCAGAGCTGCTCCAGGTCAGAGTGTGGAGTTGAACGCACAGTTCCCTGACTTAGCCACACTCAACTCTCTCTTTTGAATATGTATTTTTAGGAAAAGCAGACAGGAGGTAGCCATTATGAGAGGCAGAGAAAGAAAGAAGGGAGAAGAGAAAGGAGAAAGAGAAGGAAGGAGAAGAGGAAATGAAAACCCAAAGGATGTGGGATGCTGTCCTGAACAAAGAGAACCCTCATGTGGGAGACGACAGCACCCACGTTTTAATATAGACTCCAGAACCTGGCAGACCTTGATCTGGGTCCCGACTCCCACCACTACCCAGCCGTGACTGTGGGCAAGTCACTTCCTTCCTCTGGGCCTCAGTTTCCGCACCTGTAAAATGGGACAAGAATCCCCATTCCCCCACGACTACCATGAGATTCAGTGACAAAACGTCATGCCAGGTATTGAACCTCACATGAGATCAATGCTCATCTAATTTCATCTACTCGTGGGCTCACACCTGCCTACCTTCCTACTGAATACTAAGTATAGTATATTCGGGATCCTTTTTCAGCTTGTTTACGTCCCCCTCAACTCGAGAGGGGCAGGCAGCCCCTCTGTTAACAACAGGAACCAAATTCAGAGAGGGAGTGCGCTTGCTTGGGGTCACACAGCAAGCAAGAACTTAAGGTAGGTAGGCCTCCGGGCTGCTGAACTCTTTCCCTGATGTAACACCCCCCAAAAGGGGCTGCAGGAAAGGTGGGCGAGGCCCAGGTGGACCTGCTCCCTCCCCAGGCTCCTCAGTTCACCCCAGTCCACACACACCTTGGCTGGGGCTGCCTCCCTGTCCTGCTGGGCAGGGGCAGCAAAGGAACCCTCTTCCTCTGCCTCACTCCCCTCTTCACAGTTCACGGCTTCATCTTCGCTCTCTTCCGAGGATGGTGACTCAGCCGCCACCACCTTAGACTTCAGATAATCCATGTCGGACAGCTCCTTCCGCGCAGCTGCCTTGGGTTCCTTGGGTTCGAGGCCATCCTCCTCCTCTGGAAAGATGGAAAGGCTGGGAGTTGGTGATGGTTGTGAGCAAACCAGAGGGCAGGGGGGCAGACAGTGTGGTGGTGTGACACATTAGGTGCCAAGCTCACGATGACCAGGAGCCCCTGCCAAGCTACCCTGGTGCCAGGCAAGCCCTTGGATAAATAACTGAAATGACGGAGTTCTGACAGTTTCCATGCTCCACGTGGAGAACTTGAGGGCTCTCTCACCAGCCTCTCTCACCGGCCAAGTGTGAGGCTGCACGACTCTTTGAGACCCTAGAGGGCGTTTTTACTCCTTGAGCCAGACCCACCGGTGGCTCCCAAGCCTAACGAGGAGCTCGGGTTTTATCCCGGCTGCTCTTTCAGCGGCATCCCAAACTCCTCGTGGGGTCTGGTGAGCTCACTGGCTTTTCCGCCAGCCCCCTCTGCTGCAGCCGTCCTGAGCACACGGACACCCCCTGGCTCCTGCTCTTCCCACCCCTCTGCCATGCCTTTCCCTCTGCCTGGAACCCCTCCTCACCCCCCACCCCGAGTCCCCCCAACTCCCACTGAGTACTTTGGATCCCAGCTTTGCACACAGACTTTACCAGTCATAAAACTCACCTTAAATTCACTCCCTTGCCTTTCAACCGAAGTTGATTTCCTCCCCTCGATCACTGCACTCACCACGCTGAGCCGCTCATGTCTACACCGTGAGCCCCTTCTGAGGACAGAGGCTCTCATCCCTCACCGCCTCTGTTCAAGGACCACCCTTCTCCGGGGCGCCTCCCACCCCCCACTTCCTGCTTTCCCTCTGCGGCACTCATGTTCACATCATGTACTGAATAATGAATAAAGCCATCAGTCTGATTCCTTTACTGTTTCCTTCCCCACCAGGATGACAGCTCCACGGGAGCAGACTCTCGTCTTTTGCTCACTGCTACATCCACTCCCTGGCGTACAGTAAGTATTCAATCAATTCTTGAGTGAGTAATCCACTAACTGAATAAGGGATCAGGATCGATCAAGTCCAACGAACCCGCGGTAGGGATAATCAACCCTCTATGAGGCAGCATCTGATTTGCTATCTCTCAGGTCCAGCCCGGAGGGGTCCCGGGTCACTCGTGTGCAGGTGCGGGCAGGTGCAGGGCACGCACTATAGCGGGGGGCATACCCTCACCTTCCGAGTTCTCCCCATCTTCCTCCTCTTCGCTCTCCTGCCCTGAGTCGGAGTCAAAGTTCAGGTAATCATTGTCTGCCTTGCTCTTCCCTTTCGAGGGCTCAGCATCCAGGGCATCATTTGCCCAGGTGGCCACCTGTGTCCGCTTCTGGTGAACCGACAGGAACTCCTGGAACTCATTATCTTCTTTCAGCTGCGGGTGCCGGAGAAGCGGGAAGAAGAGAGAACAGGGAGAGAAGGTCAGGGAGGGCTTGCCCTTGCTAAGTCTTTGGAGGGTAAGCTCGTTCTCTGAGGCCATGTCCCCCCAGTCTCTAGAGGGCCCCAGGGGCCAGCTGGGTTGGTCCTGGGGAGGGCAGCACTGGACAGAAAGATGAAGGAGCTATGGGGATATGGCAAGGGGAGACAGGAGGCAAGTGTCTGTCTCTGCTGTCCACCCTCAGCTTGGTCACTGAGACAGACCCACCTTCTCCAGTTCACCTACAACCTTCTTCTTCTTGTCATCCTGTAAACAGAAGACACGGGCGTGAGGGTCACATATGAAAGGACATGGAACCCCACTGCCCTGGGAGGGCTGCTTTCGGGAACCATCCAAGAGGGATTCCTGGGCCCCTCTCCCTCCCACTACCCTGCCTTCCCGGGGTAACTGCTCTGCTGACACCCGGGACATGGCTGGAAATGGCCGTCCACACACTTTCTTAGCTTCCGTGGAGACGGCGTCTTTGTCTTTTGGAGGTGGCTTGGACTGGCTCGGTTTCTGAGCATGCTTGCTCCAGGCTCGGGGCTTTGTCGGGTCCCCAAAGGACTTGCAGAACTCCACCTGCGAGAGACAGAGAGGGTGATGACGACACCTGCCACTACACCCAGCACAGGTGGGCACTGACCGGGGCAGAGGATGAATAATGTAGACCAGTGCTTCTCATTTTGGGACCAGGAGCAACACCATCACCTGTGAGCTCGTGAGACATACAAATTCTTGGAATTCTTGGCGCCTCTCCCCCAACACAGGGGATCAGAGACTCCGGGGAAAACTGCCTCTGCAAATGCTGCAGAGGATTAACAAGCACGAGGACCTGAGAAGAGTGAGGAAGACCAAAGGCATCATGGTCTGGAAGGGGCTAGGCCCTGGTCTCACATGTGGAGAGAAAGAGCCAGGGCATCCCTGGCGACAGGCAGGTGGGGGTGAGGTCCACGCCCGCTCACCGTGATCCGGGACGTGTCGATAAAACTCTTGTTGAAATGGTTCAGCGCTGTCTGGGCCTCTTCCTCGGACTTGAAGCCAATGAAGCCAAACTTGCGGAACTTGCCGTCTTTGGTGAACTTGAGGCTGCAGTCCGTCAGCGTGCCGAAGGCAGTGAAGAGCTGCCGGAAACGCTCCTCCTTCATCTAGGACAGGACAGGAATGGTGAGGGAGGAGCCAGGAGGCCTCAGAGCCAAAGGGACAAAATGGGCTGGGAACCCGAGACCCCGGGATTCCTCCCCTCAGGCGGGGCAGTGGCCGAGCATGCTTTGTGACTGGCACCTGGTTCGAACTCCAGCTCCAGCGCTTGTCTGTGTGTGACTTAACCAAGTCCCTTCATCAATGAGGAAGTCAAGACTCAGAATAGTTGCACTGAAATCCTCCGGGCCTGTGGGCTGCTAGGAGGTTAACCAGCCCTATTGTGCCAGAAGCCCAGCATCGTAGCCGCTACAATGTAAACATCTAACAAATGCCTGTCACAGTAGATGTGTGAAATAAGGAATATGGTAAACTACACAGTGTTTGCTGATTGTGGTAGGAGTAAGCAACTTTATAGCTGTTTTCAGGACTCCTCATAAGCATCGCTCTATGTCCCAGCAGTGAGATCTCAACTTCATTTCTTGGCTTATTTATATCCCCAAAGACTATCTGCTGACTCCCACTATGAAAGATAAGAAACCTATATCATCTATTCCTCTCTTCCAGTCTCTGTTATTTATTATTTTAAATTCTTTCATCATTTACCCTAAAGAGGTTACTTTAAAAATAACAATTATGGGGGGTGTTCCTGGTGGTCCAGTGGTTACGAACCTGCCTTGAATGCAGGGGACAGGGATTCAATCCCTGGTCTGGGAAGATCCCACATGCCGTGGAACAACTAAGCCCATGCACCACTACTCTAGAACCCTTGTTCTAGAACTTGTGCTCTGCAACAAGAGATGCCACTATAGTGAGATGCCCTCGTCCTGCAATTAGAGAAAACTCCTACTCAGCAATGGAGAGCCAGCACAGTCAAAAATAAATAAATAAAAATCTTAAAAAAAAATCTATTATTGATCCATCCTTCAGCTTTAGACAGCATCTCTTGATGCCTCACTCTGATGAATGAGGATTTTGGCATGGCGACCCTTTCTTCCCCGCTCAACTACCACTTCATTTTGCTTCTCAGTATGGCGTGTCTCTTCCTACTGCATGTCTTGTCTGATGAATGAAAGAATTAGTTACAAACAGCTGTAGTTAGTAGCTGACAGTTTGCAGGCTTACTGTGTGATGACATTAAGGATTTTGAGATAAGGAGCTTGTCAAGAGATGCAAGTCATAAAGATAGTTTCTCCTGGAGATAGAGGACAGGACATAGCAAGAGTCTTTGCTTGGTTGGCCACTGGCTAAGACTCAGCACTCCCAATGCAGGGGTTCCTGGTCAGAGAACTGAATCCCATATGCCACAACTAAGAGTTCAAATGTCACAACTAAAGATCCCGCAGCCAAATAAATATAAAAAATTTTAAAAGACCTTTAAAAAAAAAGACTTTGCTTCTCATTTTATACCGAATTTTGATAATCATATGCTAAGTGCTCCCAACCTGCCATGGAGGAAAAAAAAGGTAAAGCAAAAAAACCACAAAAAAGAAACATAAATGGCTTTATGTTTCTACTCTTTCTAAGGAGTGCAGATCTCTCATAACATCCACATGGTACACTGTGTATTTGGGTGATGAGCTTACTGGCCACACCAGTGGTGGAGGGGCCTCTCCATCCAATGGAAGTCACCGTGAAATAAGTACAGATAATCTTCTGGGGCAGAAGGCATCTAGTCATCTGACACTACACATTCAACTGTTTTTTCACTCATTTATTTAAGATGCTTTTATTGAATGCCTACCACCGTGCCAGGTTCTGTGGGCTCTAAGCAAAGGCAAATATGACTGGGTTACCCCTCCCCCACTTGCTGGATAAGTGGTTTAAAGCCTTTCACACTCCCTCAGTTTTCTTAAACCATTCATTCCTACTGCCCTCAAAGCGGGAACCGGGAACTGGAACGCAGGTACCCAGCCTATTACACCCCATTTTCCTCCCAGACAGTATCCCAAATGGAAGAGGGATATAGGTGCAGTATCTAATTCAGTCACAAATCAACAAAAAAAGTGATCGAACAAGAGGGTTATCAGAGCAAGGCATTCGACACAACGTGGGGACTAGCATCTCCCTGGGAAAGAGATTTCGGGTACCAAGAGGCCAGACGTAAAACCTTTAAGAGGCACTACCCGTCTCTTCCAACTGTCATATGAATCTGCCGACAATCCTGCGGAATCCTCCGGGAACCCTGCCCGAGAGAGAAAGCCCCTCAACTCTCCACAGGCACCTCCCTCCCAACCTCCAACTTCTGGCTGGATCCCAATTTCAGATTCCCAAACTCTGTCTCTGTACTCACCCCATTCGGGAGGTTCTTCACGATCAGTCGCGACATGGCGAACGGTCCCACTTTTTTGATTTCAGCACAAATAGGTAGCGACTACCACCACCAACTTTCACGCTATCACTCTGGGCGCCGCCATCTTTGGCAGGCCGGAACAAAGTCACGTGCTCGAGACGTAGCCCGCTTCTACGGAAGTAGGCGTGACCGAAGAGCTACCCAAGGAAGTCACACCCTCTAAGGGGCGGGCCTGAGCGCCTGCATCCTGCGCAGGCTCAGGCTGTTAGGTGGCGCCTGGAGAGGACACCGTAATGGCTAGTCCGGCAGGGGGCGCTGGTTCATAACATTGCCAGGGAATTGACTGACTGGAGCGGTATTTGAGCTGTGCTTAAGCAGAAATCGTTATAGGTTTCTTTTCTGTTTTATTTTTTTATTATTGAGTTTTTAAGTGTCCCTGTGAATGGGGCAGGAATAGGAAATCTTGCCTGTCTTTGAGACATGGGCTGAGGCTCAGACAGGCTGCCAGGTACTGTGAATCATTTACCGAGCATCACCAGTGAATGTTATAATGTGCCATTGGCAATGAAAGTGAAAGAGGAGAGTAAAAAAGTCGGCTTAAAGCTCAACATTCAGAAAACTAAGATAATGGCATCCGGTCCCATCACTTCATGGCAAATAGATGGGAAACAGTGGAAACAGTGGCAGAGTTTATTTTTGGGGGTTCAGCGACTTCACTTTCACTTTCATGCATTGGAGAAGGAAATGGCAGCCCACTCCAGTATTCTTGCCTGGAGAATCCCAGGGACGACGGAGCCTGGTGGGCTGCAGTCTATGGGGTAGCACAGAGTCGGACACGACTGATGCGACTTAGCAGCAGTAGCAGCAGCAAAATCACTGCAGATGGTGACTGCAGCCATGAAATTAAGACGCTTACTCCTTAGAAGGAAAGTTATGACCAACCTAGACAGCATATTAAAAAGCAGAGACACTACTTTGCCAAGTCAAGGTTATGGTTTTTCCAGTGGTCATGTATGGATGTGAGAGTTGGACTTTAAAGGAAGCTGAGCACCGAAGAATTGATGCTTTTGAACTGCGGTGTTGGAGAAGGCTCTTGAGAGTCCCTTGGACTGCAAGGAGATCAAACCAGTCCATCCTAAAGGAAATCAGTCCTGAATATTCATTGGAACGACTGACGTTGAAGCTCCGGTACTTTGGGTACCTGATGCGAAGAGCTGACTCATTTGAAAAGATCCTGATGCTGGGAAAGATTGAACGCAGGAGGCGAAGGGGATGACAGAGGGTGAGATGGTTGCATGGCATCACCAACTCAATGGATATGAATTTGAGTAAACTCCTGGAGTTGGTAATGGACAGGGAGGTCTGGTGTGCTGCAGTCCATGGGGTCGCAAAGAGTCGGATACGACTGAGCGACTGAAATGAACTGAGCCCATTTGTAGACAAAAAAAGCAGCTTGCTCAGAGTCATAGAGCTGTTAAATTTTAAGTTATATTATGTGATAGGTGTGGACGAAGAATATTGCCTGCCGGTTCAGTAAACAGATGGTGTTTGCAGCTGCAAAGCCATCAGCTACTGCAGCTGCCCCCCAAAGGTGCCCCCTGAGGGGAATTCAAGATGGATAAAAACAGGATCCTGACCCTAGGTGGCTAAGATACCAAAGGAATAATTTCCTTGAGCCCAGGCTCTTGCATCTTTCCATACATAGAAAAATGCTAAAGTTGTTAATTTAAGATGTCTGTTTTTGTGATTATCAGTAATCTTTTGTAGTCAACTTTTTTTTTTCAGTCAAAAAATCCTATGTATCCTGACTCCTCCCTTACCTCTTTGGAACAGTGCCTCAGAGCTGTCTGAGAAGCCCTAACCTCCTCAGCTTTAGTCCTCAGTAAGTCTTCTGAATAAAACACAATTTCTACTTTGTAGCTTGTGCATTTTTTTGCCAGTGGACATAGGATCTTGGGGTGTATTGGTTTCCTACCACCTGCCACAAATTTCCAGAGACTCAGTGGCTTAAAACAACAGAAATGTATTCTCTCACGGTTTTGGAGTCCAGAAATCCAAAATCAAAGTGTCTGCAGGGCTTCGCTGTCCCCAGAGTTTCTGGGGAAGGATCCTTCCTTAGTGTCCCAGCTTCTGGTGGCTCCAGGGGAACCTTAGCCTTGTGACTGCATCACTCCATCTCTGCCTCCATCTTCATGTTTGAATCAAATCCATTTCCCTCTCTTTTGTTTCATGAGGATACCTGCTATTGGGTATAGGGCCCATCTTTTTTCTTTTTAAAGTAAATTTTTTGGAGTATAGTTGCTTTTGGGGGGCTTCCCATGTGATGTTAATGGTTAAAGAAAAAACCCGCCTGCCAATGCAAGAGAAGTAAAGAGATGTGGGTTTGATCCCTGGGTCCAAAAGATCCCCTGGAGGAGGACTTGACAACCCACTCCAGTATTCTTGCCTGGAGAATCCCAGGGATAGAGGAGCCTGGCGAGCTATATAGTCCATAGGATCACAAAGAGTTGGACATGACTGAAGTGACTTAGCACACATTCATAGTTGCTTTTCAATATTGTGTTAGTTTCTACTGTATAGCACAGTGAGGGGCTTCTCAGATGGCATAGTGGTAAAGAATCCGCCTGCAGTGCAGAAGACGCAGGTTCGATCCCTGGGTTGGAGGGCATGTCAATCCACTCCAGTATTCTTGCTTGGAGAATCCCATGGACAGAGGAGACTGGTGGGCTACAGCCCATGGGGTCACACAAAGTAGGAGACAGCTGAGCACTCACGCACAGTAAAGTGAATCAGCTGTATGTATACACACATCCCCTCTTTTTTGGATGTTCTTCCCACTGACGTCACCACAGAGCATTTAGAGTTCCCTGAACTATCCAGTAGGTTCAGTTATCTATTTCATACATAGTGTCAGTAGTGTGTATATGTCAACCCCAACCTCCCATTCATTCCACCACCCCCTTTCCTCCTTTGGTGTCCACATGTTTATTAGGGCCCGTCTTAAATCTAGAGTGGTCTCATCTCAGGATCCCTCAGTTGATGTCTATAAAGATCCTTTTCCAAGTAAGGTCATGTTTACAGGTTCTAAGGAGTAGGATGTGGGCATGTCTGTTTAACATATTACTTGAGGATTTACTTGCTTGGAAGTAGGTTACTCCAAAGGTCATATTTCACCCTCTCCATGTCTTACATAGACTGTCTACATAAGACATACTCTGTGTTTCAAAGAAAACAGACACCCCGATGTAAAAATGGACCCTCAAGTCTAGAGTAGGTGACAACGGGTCACTGTGTTTCCAAGACATTCAATTTATTCAACAGTTATTTATTGATGGGTATGAAAGTGCTCTTTAATTAAATGACAATTAGGGGGTTGTTTTCTGTGCTCCACAACCCTGGTGGGGCCTGGCCGGAGCAGGCTTTACAAGGGAGCTCTGAGATCTTAGCCTTTTATGAGAGGGCAAGTGTGGGTTGCCCAGCCAGGCCTGGTTTCATGTACTTTTGTTTTATTATTTTCATGAACTGCCTTTATTAAAATGTGCAACTAAATGTAGCCTTCTCTCAAGAAATTCACAAATCAGAAGGCCTTTCAAAGGTCTTAAAAGAAAATGGAATGCTCTTGGCTAATCATACAACCCAACTCTGGACCAGAAAAATATGGTCCCCACATGTCCAGGAAAGGAAGAACCTGTATATCCCAATGCATTTAATAAATAGGTGCGTTGTAACATTATTATTAGTCTTCCTGCTTTCCTGCCTTCTTGTTCTGTCTGCTGCCTCCTTTTCCTTCCCAACAGATATAATCCAGGGGCACCTGGATCCTACCAGGCTGGCTTCTCTGATTACACCTGGGGATTAAAACGAAAAAAGGCAGGTAAATCTAAACTGACTCTCATCAATCACTGTACCTTAACAGAAGTTCTCAGGCAGTGAGAAGTCTGTCTAGACCCTGCAGTAAATCATTTCCTGGCAGGGAGGGGCCAGTGATGGGGAGAGATCTCAGAAGGGTTGGAGGATGGAGAGAAGAGAGAAAGTTGGACCATTGATTTCTTGCACACGAGGCATCTGATTATGGAAAAAACACCAGACAAACTCCAATGAGAGGACAGCCTGCAAAGATCCCTGACCAGAACTCTTCCAAGTTGTCGAGGTCACCTAAACGAGAGACGTCTGGGAAAGCATCACAGCCAGGAGGAGCTGAAGGCTGCAGGTTGACCAACTGGAATGTAGCATCTTGGATGAGATTCTGGAAAAGAAAAAGGATATCAGGGGAGGGGGATTGAGGAAATCCAAACAGTGTGGATTTCTGTTAGTAATAATATGAGGTTGGCCCAAAAATCCATTCAGGTTTTTCTTAAGATCTGACGAAAAAACCCAAATGAAATTTTTGGCCAACCCTATACATCACTATGGATTGGTTCACTGTGACAAACATACCAGAGTAATGTTTGTGGTAGGAGAAACTGGATGCAGGATGCATGGGAACTCAAATAGTCTCACAACATTTTTGTACATCGAAAATGATTCTAAAATAATCTATTAACTATCTCTTTAAAAAGATATTTTGAAAATTAAGAGAAGGATGAAGGAGATCAGTATTTATAGAGGTGGAATAATCACCAAGGCATATTATACAGGGCAAAAAACACGGTGTAAAAAAAAATTGGGGGGGTGTGATCTTTCTGAACACCTACTCCAGTATGCGGGGCAGCAAACCGTGCCCTGGGCTGGGTTTGCCCTGTCCTGTCACTGTTTTTGTAATGATTTCATAGCTAAGGAGGGTTTACATGCTTTCTTTCTTTTTCTTTTTTTTTTTGCCATTCCATGTGGCTTGTGGGATCTTAGTTCCCTGACCAGGGATCGAACCCATGTCCCCTGCATCAGGAGTGCAGAGTCTTAACCACTGGACTCCCAGGGAAATCCCAAAGTTAGCAAATTTTTAAGTGGTTGAAAAAAATACTGAGAGAAAATCTTCATTGTGTGACCCATGAAAATAATAGGAAATTCACATTTCTGTGTCCACCAGTAAAACTGTA